TTCCATGCCGTCCTATAAGCCGTGTGTAATGAGTCGATTTTTGAGTCGACTCAAAAAATCGAATCATTACACACGTTTCCTCGTTTATATTGCCCAGGTAGTTGCCATACCCTGCTGCTTCCATGCCGTCCTATACCCCCTTCCCACTAATTCTCTCAGCTCCTCTCTTTTTTTTAGGCGCCTCAAAAATAGACTCTCCATGCCGTCCTTTACTCCCTGCCCACTAATTCTCTCGGCTCCTCTCCTTTTTCCCGTGCAACTTGGTCCCTTTGACTATGTTGCCTGTGTGGGATGGTGGCTATTGTTTGGATTGCCTCCTTTTATCCTTTTTTTCTTCTCTCTTGGAAATGCAGATCTGTCGAGCGCTGGCATACATTCACAATGGCATCGGCGTGTGTCATCGTGACATCAAGCCGCAGAACCTTCTGGTAAGGACAGTTGAACAACCCACCTTATCACTCCGCCATGCCCCTTACAACCCATCGTTCTCCTTCCCTCTTCCTCACTCCCCCTCCCCGCCCTCCTCCCTTTCTTCTCTGCCCGCTCCTCCTGCTCCCCTTTCCCTTCCCCTGGTGGCGTCTTGCTTGCAACCATCTCTCTGCCATACCCACTTTCGCCCATCTCCCTTGCTTCTTGGTTTTTTTTTCTTCTAATAAGGCTCTTGGCTGCCTTCTTTTCACTTGTCGTTTCTAATCACCATCGTTTCCTCCCTCCCTCCCATTCGCAGGTCAATCCCCACACTCATCAACTCAAGCTCTGCGATTTTGGAAGCGCAAAAGTCCTGGTCAGTGTCGTGTTCTCCCCTTTCGTGTTCTCCCCTTTCCTGTTCTCCCCTTTCCTGTTCTTTCACTGCTCATGGCCATTCTCACTTCTAGCTTTGAGGCGCCTCAAAACTAGACTCCTATCACGCGGTTTTTGAGGTGCCTCAAAACTTTCACTGCTCATGGCCATTCTCACTTCTAGCCATCTACCCTGATGCTCCTCTTTTCATCTATCGACGCAGTCTATATGCTTGCTGTGAAGCCACGTGTTCCATTCATCCCATATGGTATTCTTTGGCTATCCTTGGCTACCAGTCCAGGTGAAGGGCGAGCCCAACATCTCGTACATCTGCTCACGCTGCTACCAGGCGCCAGAGCACATCTATTAAGGCGCCTCGTTGCTTCCTGTTCATCCCGGTGTGCCCTGTCCTATCTTTCCTGCTGCAGGTGAAGGGCGAGCCCAACATATCGTACATCTGCTCGCGCTACTACCGGGCGCCTGAGCTCATTTTTGGAGCCACGGAGTACACCACAGCCATTGACATCTGGTCTGCAGGCTGCGTCATGGCTGAGCTGCTGCTGGGGCAGGTGAGTGAGTGGCTTATTGCCGTTTAGCCTGCCCCTATAGGGCACTCGTCTCTTCCTTTCTTTCCCTCTCTCTCTCTTTTGAGCCACGGAGTACACCACAGCCATTGACATCTGGTCCGCAGGCTGTGTTATGGCCGAGCTGCTGCTGGGCCAGGTGAGCCTCTTGTTTCCACTTCCCCAACCCCCGTCCATCCCCCCCCCCCCCCCTCCCGCTCTCTCCCCCCCCTTCTCTCTCTCCTGCTTACTGTCTTCCGCCCTCCCTTCTCCCCCCTCTCTCTGTCTCACATGCACGCACACTCTTCCCCCTCCCTCCGCCCCGCCGCTTACCCACCACCGCACCCTGCCCACCCCTCTGCCTTTATATTAGGCAAGAGCGGCTTGGATCAGCTGGTGGAAACCATGGAGGTGCTGGGAACACTGCAGTAGACCCCACTAGCCACACTCTCACACATCCCCACTCCCACACCTCTCGTCCCCTCCTTTCGTTCCCCCCATCAGCCTCTGTTCCCCGGCAAGAGCGGCGTGGATCAGCTGGTGGAGATCGTCAAGGTGCTGGGGACGCTGATGTACGTCCTCCCTCTTACGTCCCCCTCCCTTACCCCACTCCTTTCCTCCTGCGCTCTTCCCCCTTGCCCCTCTCCCCCATCAGCCTCTCTTCCCCGGCGAGAGCGGCGTGGACCAGCTGGTGGAGATCATCAAGGTGCTGGGAACGCCCACGCGGGAGGAGATCAAGTGCATGAACCCCAATTATACGGAGTTCAAGTTCCCCCAGATCAAGGCGCACCCCTGGCACAAGGTGAGTGTGCATGCTTGCCTTGTTTAGATGGCGTTTTATCCGTCTCGGAGGACACCACCAAGGGAGGAGATAAAGTGCATGAACCCCAATTAGACGGAGTTCAAGTTCCCCCAGATCAAGGCGCATCGCTGGCACAAGGTATTTGGTCTTTCTGATAAGTCGTCTGGGCCGTCTTAAGAGAACGCCCATGCGGGAGGAGATCAAGGAGCATGAACCCCAATTATACGGAGTTCAAGTTCCCCCCAGATCAAGGCGCACCCCTGGCACAAGGTGGGTGCGTGGCGAACCACTTAAATTCCTGGTTCAAGAGAGGGGAAGCAAGGAAAAGGAATAGAAGAAGACGAATAACAGTCGTACCTGGTGCTGGCGAGCATACTAGATTCGTTTGGCCTGTTCAATTCAAGTGCCTTCCCGTTGGTTTTGTCCGATTGTCTATTCCTCCCACGAGATCTCGCTGGTTGCCACTCAATGTTGTGCCGTGCCGAGTCATGCTTCCTGCGCACGCTTAAATCTGGCGCCTCTTGTCCCTCCGACTGAAGGTCTTCTCCAAGAGTGTGCCGGCCGCATAAGCAGATGATCTTGTGTTTTGGCTGCTCGTTGTATTGATGCTTCTTACGCCTCGTTCGATCATGCCGCTGTTCCTCTGCCCTGCCCTCTGCATCCTGCTTCCCCATCCCTCCCCACCCCCCCCAACCGCAGGTCTTCTCCAAGAGGGTCCGGCAGAAGCAGTGGATCTTGTCTCGCGCTGCTGCAGTATTCCCCCAACCTGCGCTGCACTGCTGTAAGATATCGACGAATGCCAGCACTTCAAAGTGTCATTTTGTGCCGTATTTGCTGGCGTGGCGTGGCGTGGCAACAGTTGTGTGCGACACAGTCGATCACTCTTCTGCATTAGTCCTCTTGATGTAGAACGTCAGAAGTCCCCCCACTCACTCCTCCCCACTGTCCAGCTGTCCACAGTTTCGTTCTAGCTTCAGTAGATTCAGTTTCCTGAGTAACTGCGTCATTCCAGCTATCTTTGTCTGCTTTTGTGATGCTTCCCCTCCCCAATCTCACAGGTCCGCCTTAGGGGAGTAACGATGGAACGGCGCACTTGCTCTTGTGCTGCGCTTGCTACCTTTTAACACCTCCTATGTGTGCATCTAACCCGCAGGCGGAGGCGTTGGTGCATCCCTTCTTTGACGAGATCAAGGACCCAACACCAGGCTGCCCAATGGCAAGCCTTTGCCGCCGCTTTTCAACTTCAAAAAGGAGGTGAGTTTTGAGTCCGCCACTTGCTCCGCCACTTGCTCAGCTGCCACTTGCTCCGGTGGATTCAACCACCAGCTCTATCCTTCCATGCACTTTTGTGTAGTGACTCGCTCTTTCCATTCTGCACCAAGTGATGCATTGCTGCTACGCGGTGCTGTGGCATCCTACGCCCATGTCATGCCATGTATGTATCGTGAGCTCCGCTGTGCTGTACTGTGCTGTGCCTCTGCTGTGCTGTGCTGTGCTCCGCTTGATGCTGTGCTGTGCTGTGCTGTGCTCCGCTGTGCCGTGCTGTGCTGTGCTCTGCTGTGCTGTACTGTGCTGTGCTCTGCTGTGCTGTGCTGTGCTCCGCTGTGCTGTGCTGTGCTGTGCTGTGCTGTACTGTGCTCCGCTGTGCTGTGCTGTGCTGTGCCATGCCATGCCATGCCATGCTGTGCCTTGCTAGTCCATATCTCGTGGTCTTACCGCCATCCTCCTGAGCACCGGTATGTATGCCTCCTCCGAGAACGTGCAGTCCCTGCATCCCCCCCCCCCCGCCCCCCTATCTCCTTCGTTCCATCCTCCGTCATCAATTCCAACCAGGAGTTCAAGGGTGTGCCGATCGAGCTGGTCCGTCGGATTGTCCAGAGCACACGCGGCGCGGCGCAGATTGGCCATCTCCTCGTGTAGCAGCAGCCCCTCCTAGTGCGCGCCTCTTCATGTTCCCTCCATCCCCCTTGTGCCTTGCACCCTCCCAAGCAGGAGTTCAAGGGAGTCCCCATCGAGTTGGTCCGCCGGATTGTCCCCGAGCACACGCGGCGCCAGAACGGCCATCTCCTCGTGTAGCAGCAGCATCACCTTCGTGTTGTTGTAGCGGAGTGTTTCAACCACCTTTTCCTGTAGCGGCCCCTCCCTAACCTGCTCGGCACCTGCTAGCCTGCTCGTCAGCCCCTTTGTCTACCCCATTCTCCCATCCTCTCCTCACTCTCCTCACTCTCCTCACTCTATCCATGAGCCCCGAAGCCCCTGAGCTCTTGAGCCTTCCTCACAACCCACTGTTCCATCACATTCTCCTCCATCACTCCCCCCCCCAGTCACCACAACCCTGCATCACCCCCCTTCCCGTCACATAGCCTTAAGCCCGTGCATTGTGGGACTGGACGGCTGTCCAACTGGGGTCTCGTGCTGTGGCTGGTGAGCAGGCACCTCAAAACAGGGACTTGGGGGCTGCTTGCCGGCTCAGGGTCTTGGGGGCTTCTGGCTGTAGCTTGGGTTCTTGGGAGCTCGTGAGGTCACACCACCACCTCGCTCTGATTTTGTTAGTCTTTACCAGTTACCGTAGCGCCTCTTCATCTCAACTTCACCTTCCTGCTGCCGCATGTTAAGCTCCGGCGTCACCTTTCTTTCAGAGAAGCTGTGAGCATCAAACAGCAGTAGGAAGTCCCAGTCCTCATTCTCACCTGTGGCACTCTTCTGCTGCTACTGCTTCTCCTGCTGCTGCTGCTGCTGCTGCTGCTGCTGCTGCTCCTCATGCTGCTGCGGGCGCTACTGCCGTTGCAAAAAGGCCGGTGCTGGCTTCGACAATCAAACCAGCAATGCCCACTGCTACGTGACAGTTATGCTGGTTTCAGTCGCACCTCTTTGGGTGCTGCTTGTGTGCAGCAGACACTGCTGTTTTTGTTTGTTCCCATCTCATCATCTTCCTGTCCACTGTCGTGTGCTGCATGGTGTCACGGCTGTTAGCCAGCTGTCTGAAAAACCTACCCTAGACCAGCTAGCTAGTATCATGCCTTGTCGCATTCCAGCTTGCCTGATCACACCTGACCTGCTACCTGACTAAATAACAGCAGCATCTTCATAGTGCCTTTTCCTATGGTTCCTTCCTGGTAGCATAGTGCTAGCTTCCAGCACTGTGGCAACAACTTGAGGGGCTAATCCAACCCCTGATACCACATGTAGGTACTACACTGCCTGCACTGTGCCATTCAAAAGATGTTCCGACATGTGGAGTATAAGAGGTCTCTCAGAGTAACGAATTGACTAGAGTTGAGAGTACACGGTGAGTTGTGCTAGTGTGTTGTACCCTCTAAGAGCATGCTGTCAGACATGTGTGTATGTTTAGTAGACTACATGCCATAGAGAGTACAACCCATTAGCTATATACCCTTGCATGCTCCCATTCTAGAAAACGATTCCAACTTTGAGATGGTATCATGAGTAGGTTAGGTCCCCCCCACCCATGCTTCTACCTTAGGTCCTAGCCGCCCCGCTGGCCCCACTGCCCCGTCGCCTAGCTGGCCCGTTGGCCCCGTCTCCTAGCGCCTGCTGGCCCTGCGGCCCCGTTCCCTAACGCCTAGACACCCGTGGCCCCGTCGCCCCGCCACCTAGCGCCTAGCCGCCCCGCTGGCCCCGCGGCCCCATCACCTAGCGCCTAGCCGCCCGTGGCCCGCGGCCCCGTCACCTAGCGCCTAACCGCCCCACTGGCCCCGCAACCCCGTCACCTAGCGCCTCGCCGCCCGAGGCCACGTCGTCTCGTCACCTGGCGCCTAACGGACCCGTGGCCCTGTCGCCTCGTCGCCTTGCGCCTAGCTGTCCTGTTGGCTCCGTGGCCTCGTCGCGTCGGCCGGTCGCCTAGCCGCCCCGTCGCCTAGCCGCCCCGCGGCCTCATCGCCCCACTGCTCCGCGGCCCCGTCGCCCAGCCGCTCCGCGGCCCCGTCGGCCAGTCGCCTAGCCGCCCCGTCGCCTAGCCACCCCGTCGCCTAGCTGCCCCACGGCCCCATCGCCCCGCTGCTCTGCGGCCCCGTCGCCCAGCCGTCCCGCGGCCCCGTCGCCCAGCTGCCCAGCCGCCAACTCCCCCACCCTTGGCTGTGTTTCCCGGTCCCCTCTCGCTAACCGGCCCTCTCCACCATCCTGCACTGCGCCCCACCGTGTTGCACCACGCCCCACTGCACTGCACCGCTCTACACCGGGCGGCGCTGCACTGCATTGCGTTCCACCGCACTGCACCGTACAGCACTGCTCTCCACTGCTCCTCGTTGCTCCGTCCTGCCCTTCACCGCTTGTTCGCGGCTGCAGCGGCCATAATGACGGACTCGGTGCTGCGCTTTGACGCGGAGGGTCAGCCGGTTGAGTTCGACGCGTGGCTCGTCGACCTCCGCCGTCACCTCACTGGTCAGTGGCAGGATGGCCACTCCTTGGCCGTCCACATTGACGGTACGCTCCCCTGCCCTGACCCCCCTGCTGCTCTCCCCGCTGACCCCACGTCTGCTGACCGTGAGTCCGCCGCCGCTGCTGCCCTTGCCCGTGCTGTCTGGTTGTCGCGTGACGCTGTCGCTTAGCTCGTGATTAGCCATGCCCTCCTGTCTGAGCGCCCCCGCTTTAAGTCGGTCAGGACTGCGCAGGAGTTCCTAGAGGCTGTTGTCGAGCGTTATTCCACCCTGTCCTCTGCCTCAGCCGGACGCCTGATCCTTCCCATGCTCTTCCCTGATCTCGCGTCTTTCTCCACCGTCGCTGACCTGGCCACGCACCTGCACACTGAGGCCCAGCTTAGTGTGTGTTCAGCCCCCTATCTGCTCTGCCCTTTACCTGCTTGCCACCCGCCTCCCTGACCGCCTGGCTACTGCCCGCGACCATTTTCTGAGTCTGCACCCCGCAGACCTCACCCTCCTGGACTTTGTGGCTTGTCTGCCATAGAGACCCGTTAGCGCTCTATCGCCCAGTCTAGCGGTACTGCGCCAGTCCCTATCTTTCAGGGTTGTGCTCCCGCTCCGTGCACTTACTCTGACGGTTCTGCGGGTGTTGCTAAGACAGCCTCGGCTGCTAAGACCGCTGTGGTGTTAGGATCTTTGATATGGACATGGATGAGATTAGTTATGCATTGTATGCGCTGTATGTCGATGACTCTAGTATGACTGGTTCCTATTACCCCCGTGTTACCTAGTGTAGGTGTGCCTAGTGTGCCTAGTTTAGGCTCCCCTGCTGCTTCAAGTGTAGTACCACTTGCTTTGTTTAGCCTTGGCTCCACCCTAGTTCCTCCGCCCCCAGCCGCCACTGCCGCGCTCTCCTTCACTCTCGACTATGGTGAGTCTTGATGTTTCTTTCGGGACCACACTACGCTGACGCCGCTTGCCGTCCCTGCCGCAGTTGCCCTTGCAGACCCTTCCTCTGGTCCAGTAGTCGCCCGTAGTTCCACCACCCTCCCCTGTCCGGCGGTTCCTTCGGGCTCTCTTACAGGCCTGCACATCCCCTCGTTCTCACGGAACCTAGTTGGTTTCGGCTGCCTTCAGGACCTCGGCGTCACCACTACGTTTCCTAGTCACTAGAGGTACGCTGTCTGTACCGAGGCCGCCACTGATGCCCCCCTCACCACGTTCCCCCGGGACCCGGTGTCTGGCCTGTTCACGCTGGACACCGCATCCCCTTCGGTTGGGATGCCCCCCCAGGTGGCAGCGTCTACCCAGGTAGCTGCGGCTTGCTCGTCTCGGTCACTTACTCACCCGACCCTTCAGTGGCACCACCACCTAGGTCACCCCACACTCACTCGTCTCCGTCACAGGTCTCAGCACGGTCTTGTCTTAGGTCTCCTTGCGTCATTCCCTGCGCTTCCCTCTTCGGCAGTGCTTCCGTGCACTCCCTGCGTTGAGGGCCAGCTCCGCCGTGCCCCTCACTCCTCCTCGTTCCCCTCCACCACCGCACCGCTGCAGACCCTGCACATGGACGTCTGGGACCCCCGCCTCCTTCCATGGCCCGCGTCGTGAGCGCGACTTCCTAGTGCTGTCGATGACTTCACTCGCTACACAACCGTGTTTCCCCTGGAGCAAAAGGCCGACGTGCCTGCCATTCTTATCCCGTGGCTTATCTCTGCGCGTGTGCACCGAGGTCTTCCTGTGTTGCGTCTTCACTCCGATCATGGTGGTGAGTTCGACTCTGGCTGCCTTGGTCGCCTCTGGCACGGGAAAGCTCACTGCCCGCACCGTTCCCTGTGTCTTCCTCGGTTTCCCCCTCGACTCGTCCGATTGGCACTTTTACTACCCACCGTCTCACTGTTTCTTTCACTCTCGCGACGTCACATTTGACGAGTCCGTCTCCATCTACCACCTCTTTCCCCACCATGGTCCCCCGGTTACTCCCCCCCAGTTCTTGGTCCCCCCTCCCCCGGTCGCCTCTGCTCGTCCCCCTCCCCGCCCTGCCCTGTCTGGTGTGTCTCACGTCACCCACCTCCTGTCGGTTGTCCCTACCGAGGAGTCTGCTGACTCTCGCGGCTCGTCGGAGTCCCTTCCACCACCTGTCCTCGCCCCGGTCTCTCCTCCCCTGTCGCCGACGTTGCTGTCGCAGCCGCAGCCGCCTCCGCAGCTACCGTCGCCGCTGCAGCCGCCTCCGCAGCTGCCGTCGCCGCCGCAGCCTCAGCCGCCGTCGTCACTGCCGCTTGGTTTGTGAGTTCTGGGAGTGCTATGGAGCGTGCCGGAGCGGGTACTGGAGCGGGTTCTCGTTCTGGGGGTGCTGGCATGGAGCTTCTGGGAGGGAGCCGTGGTGCTGCTGGAGGTTCTGGTGTTGGCGTCGGGCAACACCGCCGCAGTCGCCGCCGGTGTCCGCTCTTCGCCTACTCTACATTCCTTCCCCTGACCGCCCGCTGGTGCCTCCTCCGTTGCCACCGCCTCCTCCTCTGCCGTTCTACAACCCTGTGTTTCCTCCAGCGGACTCTTCTCCGGCTCGTTTCCCTCCTCGTTCTCCTCCAGTGTCTTCTCCCCTCTCTCCTGACCCGACTCCTCCGTCTCACGTCTGGGCTTGTCATCCGTCTCGTGCTCGTCCTACCTCCCCTGTTCTGCGTTCTCACCCTATGTTGCTTCGCTACCACGCGTCTCGTGCTCCACTGCTCCTCCCGTCTCCTCCTCCGTCATTGCTCGCTGTGGCCCCACCTCCGTTCTGTGACTTCCTCTGTGCGGCACGTCCCCTTGTTCCTCGTATCCTTGCCTCTCTTGTTACCGACCCGTCCGTTCCTGTCTCGAATCTGTCGGCTCTTGTTGCTGCTGCCAATGAGTTCGCCACTACACACCGCCTTGACTACGCCACGGCTCTGGTCTCCGACCCTGCCTGCCCTCCGTCCGTCGAGGGTGTGGCTTTCCTTGGCAGTGACGTCCTAGAAGACAAACACTACGAGCTAGCTTTCTTGTCAGAGGTCGCTCCCCATCTCTGTTCCATGCTGCTAGTCCTTGAGGGTGACCCAGACGCCCTTGACATCCCGACCCCTCGCACCTACGTTGAGGCCACCTCGGGACCCTGGGCCTCTCAGTGGATAGCTGCCATGGAGCAGGAGATGGCATCTTGGAGATCCACCGGCACTTACGTCGACGCAGTTCCCCCACCTGGGGTGAACGTAGTCGATGGCGGATGGCTCTTCAAGGTGAAGCGCCTTCCTGGAGAGCCGCCTGTCTTTAAGGAGCGCTACGTTGCTTGTGGCTTCAGTCAGCGTGAGGATGTTGACTTCTTTCAGACCATCGCCCCGACCCTGAAGATGACTACTCTTCGGGCACTACTACACATAGCAGCACAGCGTGACTACGAGCTGCACTCCCTCGTCCACTCCACAGCTTTCCTCCAAGGCAGTCCACACGAGCAGGTCTACCTGCGCCGCCCCCAGGGCTTCTCCGGTACCTTTCCCCTTGGTACCGAGTGGCTCCTCCGGTGCCCCGTCTACGGCCTACACTAGGCGCCCCGTGAGTGGCATGACACGCTGCGTGCTACACTTGCTGACCTGCCATTCTTCCCGTCGTCTGCAGATCCCTCGCTCTTCGTTCGTTCCGGCCAGACTTCGTTCTACATCCTTATTTACGTAGACGATCTGGTCTTTGCTACTGCAGACAGAGACGCGCTGGCCTACGTGAAGGCCGAGCTGCTGAGGAGACACACCTGCACTGACCTAGGAGAGCTGCGCCGCTACCTTGGCTTGCAGATCTCCAGGGACAGAGCCGCGTGCACCATCACTCTCACACAGTCACACTTGGTGCGCCAGGTCCTTAAGAGGTTCGGCCTTCAGTTCTCTTCCGCACAGCCCACCCCTCTGCCAAGTGGTCCTTACGCAAAGCTGGTGGGTTGCCTCATGTACCTGATGACTTACAGTCGTTCAGATCTCGCATACCCTCTCAGCATTGTGGGCTCGCTTTGTGGAATCCGGCAGACACCGACAACACCACTGGTCTGCATCTAAGAGGGTTCTACATTATCTAGCAAGTACATCGGGCATGGGGCTAGTGCTAGGAGGATGCAGGCCAGTGGTCCTTACCGGGCACACAGACGCTTCTTGGGCGGACGACGCCGAGGCTCTCAGGCCCTCCCAGGGCTACCATTTTAGCCTTGGTGCAGGTGCTATCTCTTGGAGGTCCACCTGTTCGTCGTCTGTTGCCCATTCTAGCTTGAGGCTGAGATCTACGCCGGTGCGATGGCGGCACAGGAGCTCCGCTGGCTGACTTTCTTGCTCACAGACTTAGGTGAGCGGCCTTGCTCTGCCTTGGTCCTCTACGCTGACATTAGGGCCATGATCCTCCTGTGTCAGGAGCCCAGACTTGAGGGCAGAGCGAAGCACATCCAGCTGTGGTACTTCCTCTTGTGCGAGCTACAGCAGCGTCGCCAGGCCCGCTTAGGACACTTGGCCTCTGGTGCCAACACAACTGATATCTTTACGAAGGCGCTTGCGCCTAAAGATCATCAGCGGCACTGCGTACAGCTCGGTCTCGTTCCTGTAGCCTCTCATTTGCTAGGACCTTGCTTGTGTGTAACTCTTTATATGTGATCCTAACTGGCCTTGTGGCTTTCTCCCAGTGGCTGGACTAGTAGTGCCGCCCTGGTCTTGATCTTTCCTTGTTTGTACTCTTTTGACTGGTCTTTAGACCCCTGCCTCAGAGGTTGGACTAGTAGTGCCGCCCTGAGCTGCTTGTCTCTCACCAGGCATTGCCCCTATCTAGTCTAGGGGGTGTGTCAAACATATCTGTGTATGTTTAGTAGACTACATAGGGCCATGCCATAGAGAGTACAGCCCATAAGCTATATACCCCTGTATGCTCCCATTCTAGAAAACGATTCTAACTTAGAGACATGCACTATAATAACAAATGCATAATGGGTTTGACACACCGCCTAGACTAGACAAAGGGCAGTGCCTAGCAAGAGACACGCAGTTCAGGGTGGCACTACTAGTCCAACCTCTGAGGCAAGGGTCAGAAGACCAGTCAAAAGAGCACAAACTAGACAAGAGCAAATGAGGGTGGCACTACTAGTCTGGCCACTAGAACAGAAGCCACAAGGCCAGTCAGTAGAATATATTGAATGAAGTAGTACACAATCGAGGTCCTAGCAAGTGAGAAGCTACTGGAATCAGACCAAGCTGTACACAGTGCGGCTGATGATCTTTTGGTGCAAGTCCTTAGTAAATATATCAGTTGTGTTGGCATTACAGGCCAAGTGTACTACGCGGGCCTGGCAGTGCTGCTGTAGCTTGCGCTGGTGGAAGTTCCACAGCTGGATGTGCTTCGCTCTGCCCTCTAGTCGAGGCTCCTGACACAGGAGGATCATGGCCCTATTGTCAGCGTATAGGATCGAGGCAGAGCTAGGCCGCTCACCAAAGTTTGTGAGCAAGAAAGTCAGCCAGCGGAGCTCCTGTGCGGCCATGGCACCAGCGTAGATCTCAGTCTCATAGTTTCAAACACTAAACAAACAGAAACATCACACTGTACTTGTAAACCCACACCTCGTGCCAAACGTTCCTTGAACACAAAGTGGATCCAACCAGGGCCCTGCCAGCGAGCCTTTGTACACCCGGCGCCCCGCCCCCAAAACCTCCCCCCAAAAACACCCTAACACCCTCCCTTCTTCCCCCAAACCTTCCCCTCCTTAAAGTTATTCCTTCAGAGTGGTGTTCAGTACTAGAATAGGAAAACGGGTTTCTGAACATCGTGATCGACAAATTTTACCGAGTCCAGTACCAACAACACCCACCTGCATGTTCGCACGCAAACCTAGTAATTGGCTGTGTGGTACAGCCACATTCGCTGCATGCCGCATGTCACTCCGTTTTGTGCTCAGCAAACTCGTAGCGCCACACACAAGCGAACGGAAACGTGCGCAAACAAGATGTGACGGGCACTAAAACGAACAAGACTTGCGAGGCGCGAAGTCCAGCGCAGATCATGATGCGCGCCAACGCCAGCTCAACAAGACCATCTTCCCCTCCAACCTCCTCACGCACAACCACCACCGCAGCAACGCACCCACAAAGCAACGCCCATGAAGCAGATTGCCCAACACCCTGCTTCGTCAGTCACAAGCCCACATAGAGTAGCTAGAGAAGTCAGTGTACCTGCCGCCCTCTTCGCCACGCCTTCCAAAAGAGTGGAAGTTGTGTCTGTGTCATACATTTTAATAAAGACCAAGCATTACGTAATTAATCCACATCGCACCCATATGACAGAAACACACCCCAACTAATCCCCTTGCACTTCCCCTGCCTAAATTTCCCCAAGTGCAAACGCAACGACGGGCACCCCTGCGATCCGCCGCAGGATCCTACCCGCGGTGACGCACACCGGCACCTCCGTGCTCTACACCAATCTTTGCGAATGCCACAAGAATGGCATGCAGCGCATAGAGGACCTTTCACGTGGTGGAAATCGGCCCGTCGAGAAGGCACGGAGGACGCTTCGAGCCAGCCAGCAAGGCAGGCGACGAGCCTAACAGCACCGTACTCGGGTGGCGTTCACGACTCCAACCCAAGCAGCAGCGAGGCTCTTGCTAGCGCCGTGTCCCCCATGTCCGCCGCGGCCCTGTTCTCAACGAACCTGACGCCGCGTCCCCCATGTCCGCCGCGGCCTTTGGATGCACTGAAGGCACTATGGAGGAGGTGGAGGCATGGCACCGCGACGACGACGCTTAAGGTGAGCGCCATGTAGTGCGAGCCCCAACCGCTTCCTCCTCTCCTGCAGTTCCCCCGCTGTTCCACTCGGGCACGGCTCCCACTCGTAGCCCGCCATGTCGCCCCTTGTCCACCATGGGTTGGGCATAGCGAGGTAGGGATTCCACTTCATGTTGAATTCCCTCATCCTGCGCTCGCTCATGCCCAACACCATATTGTGCAAGACAACACCGCAGGAATCTCTCAAGCACCCTCCAAAGGTGACACTCATTTCGCCTCGCGAATAGTCGCCATCTCCCCTTGAAAAGCCCAATAGCCCTTTCTATAGCCATGCGGGTTGCCGATTGTGCGTAGTTGAATGCTTGTTGCCACTCTAGGAAAAACCGCCCTTGTGTGGCATGAATTGGGGTGAGGCAGAAATCCCGCAATGGATATGCAACATCACCCACCAGTTGCTATGGCGCTATTTCCCCGCTTGCTAGCCTCATGTATAGTTTTGAATTTACAAAAACCCTGTTGTCGTGGGCGCTTCCAGGGGATCCTATTAAATAATCCCAAATCACACAACGGGCATCGCATGTCAGTTGCAGCTGTATGGCATATTGGGGTTTACGCGAGAAATGGTCCGCACGATGAGCATCGATGCCCGTAATTTGAATATGCGTGCCATCAACTGCCCCAATAACTAAGGGTATACCCTTGATGCTTTGCAATTCGACGGCCATTCGTGCCATGTCCGCGCGAGATGGGAACCGCACCAACTCACGCCTAAACACCCGAGGGAATTTTATCATAAACAGGTCAATGAACATGTGGCACAGCGTTTTCGTTACACCCACCAACATAGCGATGTCGGCGAATGTCATCTCCGAAGCAAAATACTTCACCGAGATTAGGACTACGACGGGAATAAGGTAGCGCGTCACTACCGGGTGCAGAACGTGTTGCATGCCCGTCACTATATGGTATAGTATAGCTTTGTTGATCCGAAACGTGTCTTGAAATTCGTCCTCTCTGATAGTGTCCACTTCCTTGACCAAAAGGTCGAGTCTCCGCCGTCGCAATCCACGTTTGCGACGACGTATCTCTGTTAAATTATATATGTTAGTATATAATTGTAGGCTTGGTATGCGTTACTGAACTTTACTGTAGAGGGCACAACACCCCTCTTTGTATCTCCCTCTTTTCTATTCTCCCCTCTCTTTTCTCTCTCAACTTTGCTAGCACCTAAAACCACTCGCCATTTCTATGGCTCCTCCTACTCCTAGCTAGAACCTGTCTAGCTCTCTTAACATGGTTTCAGAGCGGGCCGTTTCTCCTGGGCTTGCTCCCCACGCTTCCGCTGCGTGCTTGTTTCTCTCTCTCTCTCTCTCTCTCTCTCTCTCTCTCTCTCTCTCTCTCTCTCTCTCTCTCTCTCTCTCTCTCTCTCTCTCTCTCTCTCTCTCTCTCTCTCTCTCTCTCATGCTGCCATGGCGGCCGCGTCAAGCTGCTGTGGCCGCGTCGTCGTGCCGTCGGCTGCGTCGTGCTGCCGCGGCCATCGCGACGCACTGCCGTGGCATCGCGCTGTCGCGGCGTCTACGTCGAGCCGTGGCGACGTGACGGCGCCATCACGCTGCCGCGGCGTCTACGCGACAGCGCACGGACGGCACGGACGGTAGCGGCCAGCGCCCCGTTTTAGCGCAAGCCAGCACGTCCGCATACAGCCAGCGCGCCGTACGCGGGCGTGATGCTGGAACACGCCCCACCCCCTCTCCCCCCCCTCTTCACCTACGTCCTCAGCCGTCGCCTGACTCCCGCCAGCCGTCCCACTGTCATGGAGGCTGGACACGCCGCCGAAAGGGCGGGGGCCGCTGCCGTCGCCGCAGTCGTCAGTCGAAGCCACCGTCACCGCTGTTGTCGCCGCAGGCCTGTTGCCGCCGCACGCTGTCACTGTTGCCGCTGCCGTGGCTGCCGCCGTCGCCATCTCTCGGACCTTGGGGTTGGCCCTGCTGGAGTAGTCAGGGCTGCTGGGAATGGGGGTGCTAGGTTGGGGGGTGTGGGTGTGTGTGGGCTTGTGTCTACCAAGCCTAGGGGGTGTGTTAAATTATATATGGTAGTATATAATTGTAGGCTTAGTAGGCATTACTAAACTTTACTGTAGAGGGTACAACACCCCTCCTTGTATCCCTCTCTCTTCTATTCTCCCCTCTCTTTTCTCTCTCAACTTTCCTAGCACCTAAAACCTCTCGCCATTTCCATGGCTCCTCCTACTCCTAGCTAGAACCTTTCTAGCTCTCTTAACAATCTCTCCTCTGGGCGCGGAGGGGCAGCGGTTTCGTCGGGCCTCGTCATACGGTCGACGTGCATGATGTTGAAAGGAGTTAAGCCTATAAGCTAGCTAGGCATGAGAATTGTCGAGAGGTTTTAGCTAGGGAGAAAAGTTGATGAGAGAAAAGAGAGTTGGACTAAAAGAGAGAGGGATACAATAAGGGTGTTGTACTCTCTACAGTAGGATCCAGTATTGCAGCACACCTAACCTACCAAGCCTACACAACTATATATAAATAACAATATAAGTTGACACACCCCCTAGGCTTGGTAGGCGCTAGCACACCACACATGCAACACCCCCAAACCCTTGCACCCCAATATCATGCAGCAGCTGTGGCGTCTACTAGCGGGTCGACCCCTCGGCAATCGAGGCGGCGACGTCAGTGGCGGGTTGCAGCAGCGGCTTCGGCGACTGCGACGGCGGCCCCGGCAAGGCCTGCTGCTCCTGCGGCGGCGGCGGCGGCGTCGAGGCACCTGGCGGCGTGGCACACACTGTGACGGCACACTGTGGCACACAGGGGAGGACGGCACGAGACCGCCAGAAACTGCGGAGGGGAGGAGGGGGACGAGTCTTCAGCGAGGCGCCGTGGCTGGCGCGGCGCTGGCTGGCGTGCAGGCGAGCTGGCTGGCGCTAAAAACGTGCGCTGGGCGCGGCCGTCCGTGCGCTGGCGCATCGAAGCCGCCGCGGCAGCACAACGACGCCACGGCAGCACGACGAGGCCGTCGCGGCAGCGCGGCGAGGCCATCACGGCTGCTCGACGAGGCCGTAACGCGTCGAGGCCGCCATGACAGCACGACGTGGCCGCCATGGCAGCGCATCGAGGTCGCCGCGGCAACGCGGCGAGGCCGCCACGGCTACTCGACGAGGTCGCCGCGGCAGCGCAGCGACGTTGCTGCGGCAGCGCGGCGAGGCCGCCGCAGCTGCTCGACGAGGTCGCCGCGGCAGCGCCGCGAGGCCGCCACGGCGGCGCGAATGTGACGGGAGGGGAAAGAGTACGCTGCGGAAGCGTGATGACAAGGCGCAACAGGATCTTCATGCTCTGAAACCAATGTTGAAAGGAGTTAAGCCTAGAAGCTAGCTAGGCATGAGAAATGTCGAGAGGTTTTAGCTAGGGAGAAAAGTTGATGAGAGAAAAGAGAGTTGACTAGAGGAGAGAGGGATACAAGAAGGGTGTTGAACCCTCTACACTATGATCCAGTATTGCAGCACACCTAACCTACCAAGCCTACACAACTATATATAAATAATACACGTGATGCACGCTCGGACGGCATGCTAGAACCAGCTGTAAAATACAAGGAGCGGTTGCATCATGAAGTCTGCAGGGTTGGTAGGATCCATGGGGAACATCGCAAGTGATTTGGGTTGGCTGGAAATACGTCTGTGGTGTTTGCGACAAAATTTGGCATATGTTCGGGTTTTGTGCTCGCTCTCACATGGCTCGCTAGGTGCATTGCGTCTGGATGTCAGGGTGGCAGGCGAGCAGCTATTGGTGGGAGCGCCATCCGCCTGGCGAGGGCTTCTGACGCCGCGCACGTGTTTGGGCTGCACATTAGGCTTTCTGGGCAGTGATGCGCACTCTTCGTTTGGCCTGGCGACATCGCTCACCATCCACGTTTGTTTCGCACGTTTCGTGGTCGTGCCCACGCTTGCGAACCACACTGGTACTGAACACCATCCTGCAAATCGGCAAATACAGCACGGTGTTCAAGTATGGGATTCTCTATTCTGGTACTAAATACCATGGCGTAGGAATACACTCTTAGCCCAGCCTAAGCCTTCTGAATTTCGAGCACAAAGCCTTCACACGGCCACCCCTGCTTGAGCGCCAGGTGGATCCAGAGCTCCGCCAGGCTCTCCAGGTTGCTAGCACCCACACACATCCTCCCTTCCTCCCCCTTAAACCCCCAATTCGCCCTATGCCTTCTGGATATCAAAAGCGAACCCCGCCCGCGGCCAGCCCTGCTTGAGCGCCAGGTGGATCCAGAGCTCCGCCAGGCTCTCCAGGTTGCTAGCACCCACACACATCCTCCCTTCCTCCCCCTTAAACCCCCAATTCGCCCTATGCCTTCTGGATATCAAAAGCGAACCCCGCCCGCGGCCAGCCCTGCTTGAGCGCCAGGTGGATCCAGAGCTCCGCCAGGCTCTCCAGGTTGCGAGCACCCACACACATCCTCCCTTCCTCCCCCTTAAACCCCCAATTCGCCCTATGCCTTCTGGATATCAAAAGCGAACCCCGCCCGCGGCCAGCCCTGCTTGAGCGCCAGGTGGATCCAGAGCTCCGCCAGGCTCTCCAGATTGCGCGCGTAGCGCAGAGGGCCCACGTACTCAGGGCGGAATCCAACGGCTGAGATGATCTGGAGTGAAAGGAGGGAGGGGAGGAGGGGAGCGAGAGGAGGGAGGGGAGGGAGGATGGAAGGGGGGAGAGAGGAGGGAGGGAGGGAGGGAGGGGAGCGAGAGGAGGGAGGGGAGGGAGGGGAGGGAGGGGAGGGAGGGGAGGGAGGGGAGGGAGGGGAGGGAGGGGAGGGAGGGGAGGGAGGGGAGGGAGGGGAGGGAGGGGAGGGAGGGGAGGGAGGGGAGAGAGGGGAGGGAGGGGAGGGAGGAGGAGGGGAGACAGGGAGGGAAGGGAGTGAGGGGAGGGAGTGGAGGGAGGAGAGGGGCGGAGGGAGGAGGGAGGGGAGGGGAGGGAGGGAGGAGGGAGGAGGAGGAGGGGAGGGTGGAGGGAGGGGTCCATGTGAATAAGCACACATACTCCAGCCGGAATCCAACGGCTGAGATTATCTGATATGTTGGCGAGACAGAGAAGGGATGGATGGATGGTGGGGTAGTGTCACCTAGGAAATACATGCATGGCTGCCTCCCAGGGTTTGATCGCTGGTTGGTTGACTATCAGGTCTGCACCAGCGAGGGTGTGCAACGCCCTGCTGCCCTTTCCCCATGCATGCGTACCGCTTTTGAGTTGACTCAAAAGCGGGTGTGCAACGCCCTGCTGCCCTAGCTCCTTGCTGCCCTTGTTGTCCTTGTTGCCCTTGCTGGTTGGATTAACTATCATTGCGCGAGCTGCCCTTTCCCCATGCATGCGTACCTTAGTGGCAACATCCTTGGCAGCAGGGTCCTCCGATCCAGCAAAGAGCATGGCGATCTGCTTGCCTCCCAGGGTTGGATCGACCATCAGCTCCGCTCCGAGGGTGTTGAACGCCTTGTACACGTGCGCGTGGGGGAGGGCCTGGATGGGGGAAGAGGGGAAGGAGCTGGCGTTGAGGGAGGAAGGCGGCTGACAATCTCCTTTTCATCCTGCTTCACAATCACCTGCTCAACCTCCTTCACAATCACCTGCTCAGTCACTTTTTTAACCCGTCTGCTCCGCTGGTGCTGTTCTGATATGCGCTGATGTGCGGCACCTTGATTTCCCTCCCTTTACAGTCACCTTTTTAATCTTCTTCACAGTCGCCTTACTCACCTCCCTCTTTACAATCACTTTCTTGAGCTCCTCTATGCCGCTGGTGCTGTTCTGATCCGCACCGATGTCCAACGGAGTCAGGGGGTTGGATGCGTCTATCACCACCCCTACCACCCCGTGTTTTAACCCCCCCATACAATCACCTTCTCAGTCTCCTCTTAAATCACCTTTTTGAGCTCCTCTGCGCCGCTGGTGCTGTTCTGATCCGCGCTGATGTCCAACGCCGGCCACGCAGTCAGGGGGTTGGAAGCGTCTAACACCACCCCGGCATACGAGCCCCAGGGGGCAACAACCTGCAAAAGGGGGAGAGGGAGGGGGGAGAAGAGATGTAGAGGTAGAGAGAATATTCTTCTGTTATGATCCTCTCTGATTTTCAACGCCGGCCAGGAAGTCAGGGGGTTGGACGCGTCTATCACCACCCGTTTGTATGAGGCACAGGGGGCCACAAACCGAGGAAGGGAGAGACGGGGTTAGGAAGGCAGGCCGGGCATTCAGGGGGTTGGACGCGTCTATCACCACCACTCCTCCATACGAGGCAAAGGGGCCCACCACAACCTGATGCAGGGATGGGAGAGTAAGGGGGAAGAGTTGTAGGGGTAGGGAGGTCATGTTTTCCGACCCGCACTGATGTCCAATGCTGGCCAGGCAGTCAGGCGGGTGGGCGCATCTATCACCACTCCTCGATACGAGGCCAAGGGGCCCACCACAACCTGAAGCAGGGAGGAAGGGGAGACGGATGGAGGTTCTTGAGAATCTGGTGAAGCATTTTTACGGTCTCACGGACCTACAGGAGCAAGCTTAGAGAGAGAGGACCATGTGTGAAAGGTTTTTGAGAATTCTAAAAAACCAACACAACTCACCAAAACCAAGCTTAGGCCTAGAAGGTCACTTGGAGAAAGGGTATAGCAAATTTGAAGTGACGTAATCCAATCGTGAGTCTATTTTTGAGGCGCCTCAAAAATGTAATCCGATAATTTGCTAGCCTACCTTGCTCCACTCCTCTGCTGTCGCATATCCAGGAGTGGCAATGATGACAGCATCAGCCCCCGCTACTGCCTCCTCCACTCCTGCCGCTGTTGCTGCTCCCTTGCCCCCCTCCCTCACATACGCTAGCGCCTTGGCGGTCTGAACGTTGGGGGCTCATGGGGAAGGGAAGGGAAGGGAGGGGGAGGGGGAGGGGGAGGGGGAGAGTGAGGGAATTCGAATCTCAACAATGGCAACTTTCAGACCCCACGTCACCCCGCGTCACCCCGCGTCACCCCGCGTCACCCCCAATCCAGCACGTCAATGCATTACCCTGATGCTCTCTTCAGATCTAACCTTCTCGTCGCCCGGATGCTGTGACGTCAGCACCACGTCATGCCCAGCCACGCACAGCATGTGAGCCAGCTTCGACCCCACATTCCCTATGCCTGGCTACAGACGAGTGGTAGCGGAAGGTATTTTTGGACTCACCTTCTCATCGCCAGGGTGGAGTGACGTCAGCACCACGTCATGCCCCGCGGCGCACAGCATGTTAGCCAGCTTCGACCCCACGTTCCCTGTGCCTGGCAAACGATTTTTGAGGCGCCTCAAAGACCCCACGTTCCCTGTGCCTCGCTACATGACACGATTGATAGCGGAAGGTATTACTAGACTCACCTTGTCATCGCCAGGGTGGCGTGACGTCAGCACCACGTCATGCCCAGCCGCGCACAGCATGTGGGCCAGCTTCGACCCCACGTTCCCCGTGCCGCCCACCACCGCGATCCTCATGATGACGATTTCGTCGCTCTGAATCTGAGCTTGTGCTGAATGCGCTGACGGAGTTGACCACGTTGACCGCGTTGACTGAAGCCCGAGAGAATCAAAGCCGGCAGAATTTCCTCTCGTGGTGAGCGAAGTCTGCCGCCGCTGGCCGCGGGATGATTGCGATACGCCGCCTGCAGCCAGCGGCCCGGGGGGCGAACGGGGCAGAGACTCTGACGGATGTGACAGTAACGGGAGGAGTCCTGAAAAAACAAAGCCGCTGCGGGATGATGAGCAGCGCGCGCCGCGTTAGAAGCGCCAAGCGGAGGGGGAAGTCGCATCGTGGCGGATATGTCACCGTGGACCCGAGCCTCGCGTGCTGAGTGCTGAGTGCAGACGCGAGACGCGCGTGCTGAGTGCTGAGTGCAGACGCGAGACGCGCGTGCTGAGTGCTGAGTGCAGACGCGAGACGCGCGTACTGAACTGAGTCCAGACGTGAGACGCGCGTACTGAGTTCTGCCACACGGCGGCAGTGCTACACGAGGTATCAAGTACGCGATAACAGTACGGCAAGCCAGCGAGCCTCTGAGATCTGGATGCTTCCAACTTGAATCGTGGCTCGAAATTTACACCGCATGTTCACTCAACGTCGCCAATTCTAGCCGTTTTGAGGCGCCAGAAAACTACAAATTCACTCGTCACTCCGCAAGTCCACTCAACGTCGTTGTCGTTGGAGGCGAAAAATAGTCGGCCTCACCTTGGAATAAAGCGCAGGCGATTTTTGGGACGTCTCAGAGTTTGTGACGTTTTGAGACGTCTCAAAACTCGTCTCAGGAGAAAAATAGTCAGCCGCACCTTGGGAATAACGCGGGCGATAACTTCAAGTTGAAGTCTCCTCAAAGTTGAAGTCCGTCAAAGGACTGCAACAATTGCGTCGGTCGATCGATCACTCTATTTCTACTGCCGGCGCTGATGCCGCGGAGTCGTCGAACGGGAGAGGGATTGTACTGAGGAGGATGCTAGAGACGTCCTTTTGACAATGGCCCGCTGGGGTGGACGAATGGAAGCCTCGAGGGAAATGAGAATCTTGAGTGCGGCTGTCGAATTTATGCTGGGAGGCAGGGATTTGGCCCCCCTTGGGATGGTCGAATACTGGCTCGGATGCGGGGCGTTGCGGGAATTTGGTGTTGAAGGGGGGAGGGAGGGGGAAGTGGGAGATTCGGGGCAGGGGGGGAGGGGTGAGGGAGGGGTGAGGGACTCCCTCACCCCTCCCTCAGAGGGAGGGGAGGGAGAGTGGTGGGAGCTGCCGCGAAGGCTCGGTTTGGCAAGTCAAGCAACTGGCAGTCACGTCGCTTGCGAAATTGTGAATGCTATGTGACCATGCGACCCATGCGACGCTTTCAACCAGGGCCGGAGGGTGCGGTTTGGCTAAGAGAAATCAATTTGGGTGACCTGGCACCAAGACAATTCGCTCAGAGTTTTGGCGCGCAAAAGAATTGTTACAGGTTGCAAGCACAACTCACGCTCTAGAAGCTTCCCGATGGTTCCTCGTAACTTCCTCAGTAGATCTTCAAAAGGACCCAAAATAATTTTCTGCACGCATATTGATTTTCCTATGTGCATAGGATGTTCGACGTCCATAACAAGAGATGGTGTTGTGATGCTAGCCAAACCACACAACAAACTCCTCCTAGTCCACAACCCATTTTTATTAACTTCCAATGAGGCATAAAACACATCTGTAGGAAAAACAATCTCATGGTATGTAGTCCACATAAGATCTAGCCTAAGAGAAAGGCCGAGGATAGAAGGAACATCCAATACAAGCCACCCGACCCAACAAAACGCTCGCTATCTTTGCCACTCGAACCACTGGTATCACTGCTATCAACAGTTGCACTGCTGCCATATGAGCTAGTCCCGCGGCTACTACCATAACTGCTGCTTCCGCTATTACCAATATTGTTCGTCCCCGAGCCATTACTAGTCCCTGGACTGCTGGAAGCTGGCGGCACTATTATGGGAGTGTTCGTTAGGTTGGCATATGCAGCGCAGTCTTTCTTGTCCAGGGTACGGTTGACGAGGGTTGCAAAACGAGGATTATCGATAGTGCCGGCAGGGCAGTTGGCGGGAGGGATGAGGGGGTCGCAACAGATCATGCGGTCGGGGATCTTTGCAGGACCATTATAGCAACCAGCTGTTCCCTGTACATGGCCAATTAAACACACATACACATGTGAAGAATAAACATTATTTTCATAGAGAATGGGACATGGCCGCAGGTAGAGAATGCCTGCAGTACATTGGTGTTTGAATAGTGAAGTTCTCTGACCTGTTAAAAAGGCATTTTCCACCACTTTTTCACCCACTCTCAGGCACGATCTCGAGAGTGGTGACTTTTGAGTCGACTCAAAAGTCCCCTTCTCTGAGTCACCCCCCCCCCCCCCCCCCTCTAACCCTACTCACAGGCACGATCTCGAGAGTGGTGCTGATGTATCCAAGAGCCGCGAAGATTGCGCCAAACGTCTTGTTGAGCAGGCGCTCTTTGGTGTTCAGAAACTGACCAAACGTGGCCGTGGTGCCGGGGACTGGATCAAGGAGGGGGGGGGGGGGGGGGGGGGGGGGAGATGGGGAGGGGGGAGGGAGAGGAGGGGTAGAAGGGTGAGGGGGAAGTAGGGGTTCTGGTTAAGCAGGCGCTCCTTGGTGTTCAGGAACTGGTGAAATGTGGCCGTGGTGCCTGGGGACTGGAAAAACGGGGGTGGGGGATTGGAGGAAATATATAAGCATGAGGCTTGGCGAATTTGAAGAGTTGTTACTGATGGTGTGGTAGAGAGAGCTTAGAATGATGGTTGAAGAGAAGGACAGAGGGGAAGACTACGACCAACGATTACTCTGGACAGGCAAATAATAGCCACACCATCTAATATGTAAGTCTTAATGTGTCTAATGTATTTATGTATGTAGAACTGACTTATCAGTGTTTACCTGCTTCAGGGAGTTGCGGTTTACGGTACCTGGCAGTCCCTTGCAGTCGTCGAACACTTGGGTCGCGTAGCCGTCGCACATGCTGAAAATGGGGGTTGAGCCCGTCCCTGCGGGCTTGCGCACATAGTTGCCCGAGTCTGGAAGCGGATGGCGAACACCAGAAAAGTGGTAACAGAAACTGGAGATTAGCTAGCGTAAAATGTTGCTGCTAGAGAGTGGTTCGTTTTTGGTAATCATCTGCAAAAATCAACCATTGGAATTAAATTCTCTAAAGGGTGGGGGGAAAGTGGGAAAATGCCTCGAAGCCAAGCATTAGCACTACTTATTCGGCTAGACTTGCTAACTAATAGAGGATAAAAATACTTGCCTGGATTACAGTTTACGGCGCAGTTGACCTGCTCGAAGTCGTTGGCGCAGTCGTGGAATCCCACAAAGATAGAGCACAGCTGGAAGGGAACGAGAACGATAGTGAGGAGAAAGAGATTAACGTGAGGTTTCTTGGTGACTGAGAGGGGCAAATAGATCCAACGAGGGGGGGGGGGGATCTGGTGACGTGCGCCAAGTAGTTGGTGCAGCCTTGAAATCCTACGTTGGTGAACGAGGAAAAATAGACATTAGAAGCGACGTCTGGCAAAAGGGAGACTTTCAAACAATTGAGAGCGCATTTCGAGTCTTCAAGCTTTGAAACTGAGACAGAGTGATGGGGAAGAGCGAGAAAGAAGCACGCCGCACCTGAAGCTCCGTTCCGCCGAGCAGCTGAGCCAGCGACGGTGCGAACTCGTAGAGAACGGCCGTCTCGTTCGCGAGTACAGCCGACAGCACAAACCCGCTGTCGAAGCGGTTAACGCAGAAGGTCGGAGGGCTTCCCAGCGGCAAAGATTTCACCTGAATCTCGGTTCCCCCCACGAGCTGAGCCAACGACGGTGCGAACTCGTAAAGAATGGTCTTCTCGTTCGCGAGCACCGCGGAGAGCGTGATCATCCCACGACTTAAAGCATGACTACCTGGAGCTCACTTTTGAGTCGACTCAAAAATCATCCCACGACTTAAAAGCATGACTACCTGGAGCTGCGTGCCTCCGAGGAGCTTCGCAAGGGACGGCGCGAACTCGTTGAGAATGGTCGTCTCGTTCGCGAGCACCGCCGACAGCGCAAACCCGCGGTCGAAGCAGTCTTCGCAGCAGCTCGCCTCCGCCGCGTCCACGCACCGCGACGGGATAATCGCCGGTTTCTGCGGCGGCTTTTGCGTCAGGGGACAGAGCGGGTAATCCGCCGCGAATGACGGCGGCAGAAGCGGTAGAAGCAGCGTCGCCATGACGAGCAGAGTGGAAACGACGGTCTGAAAAAATCCCCTCATTGTGAAGCCTGTCTTAGGTATTTAAGTTAGTTGAACGTCTACTAAAGCGCGTACAGCTTATACGGAACGGAACCCGTCGGACGGTGCGATGAAGGGAGGTGCCGCAGCGTTTTTGTTTCACACTTGAAATTCAAGGGTTCAAGAAGGTCTTAGAGCTGATCTTCTTTCCGAACCATCCGCAGCTTGCTGGCGCCTGCACTACGATAAACAAAAGCCTCCCCGCCGTCACGTGAATGATTGAGGAAACCCAAGAGTGGCCCCTTCTCCGATAAGTGGAAAGTGAGACACTGCCTCACAACTGGCAGTTATGAGACAATCCTGAGTCAGGTTCTTGAATGCACCTGGAGCTGAAATGCACGCATTTCACACTCTGTCTGGGGTGTTGCCATGCCGCCCCTGAGCTACACCAGAGCTAGAGCGCATTCGTATCGATAGTTGACATCGGTTCCGGTGGTGGCGTGAGGTGAGGTGACGGCAGCAAGGCGTGTCTCGGAGTGCCTGTGCCCCACACTGGGGATAGCGACGGGTCGGTCTTGGCGCGGCCGCACTTCAGGAAGCGAGCGAGACGAGGCTGTCATTGCGTTTACCGCAGGCAAGCAGCGACTCGCTGCTGCTGGAAGGACGCGCAGGCGAAGAAAGGCAAAGGAAGTCGGGTTAGGAGGATGCGATAACTCTTCGGCGGCGCTAGGGCTAGCAGGGGGGACCATGGCGCGTTGAAAATGTGGGACGGGACGGGAGGGGTGTTCGAGCCGCAAATTCGCCGAAAGTAAGTGGCATCGGGCAGAGCCTTGGCAGGCCAAAATTGCGGGGCTGCTCTTGAAAGCCCGAAATGTGCACAGGTCATCGTGTAGTGGTTTTAAACATCATACTGTCCGCGTCCAAAGTCCTGCATCGTGCACAGTATTGAGGTGTGGGCCTAATTTATAAGCATATGACATACGAGGGACTATAGGGCTACATTTGTAAAAAAAATGCCGAGTAATCCACTCTGGGAAATGCTGGTGTGTGACACATTTGGCAGCCGCGTTGCGGGATAGACAGGATTGGTGGCTGTCGGTTGGTCTGGGGACACAGCACTGTGGCTGCCCCACGAGGGGTTCTTGCTCTTTGATTGGTCAAGCACGAACATGGATGTGGATAACTGGCGAGAAGCAATCAGAACGGGATATGTGGCAGTGATTTCTCTTGTCGATTCGCCAGCGATCTGCAGCCCGATCAGCAATTTCATGTGCCACGTAAGGTGGGCTTCCATAATCCCATATGCCACGTCGGGGACCAATGACATGCATCGAACACACTTCACAAAGCTTTTGTCTGCACTACTAAAAGCTTTTAACAGTAGTGAACGAAGCACAAAATAAAATGGAAGAGAAACCTAAGACGACAGCAGGTGGAGATGGCTGTTATTATAATTGGTCAAACCAAGAAAACAAGCATCGGATCCAATCACTTTTTGCGTCCCCTTCGTTAACACCAACAGAAGTAAACAAGATGCAGGCACATAACTTGTGAACGTGCCTTGACAAGGTCATCATTGCATGGGCACTGCACGGCCGCCACCACCGGCACCACCACGATAACTACCACCACGCCCCCTTCCACCACTGCCGCCACCGCCGCCGCCGCCGCCACCACCACCACCATAACCACCATATCCCCCAGCCGCATACCCACCTCCCCCATACCCGCCTCCCCCATACCCACCACCACCGTAACCACCTCCCCCTCTCCCTCCGTACCCATACCCTCCTCCTCCATAGCCTCCCCTCCCACCATAACCACCCCCTCCCTGGTAACCGCCTCGGCCGCCGTAACCACCGCCGTAACCGCCGGCGTAACCATAGTGCCCTCCGCGGCCTCCTCTCCCCCCCCTTCCGTTGTAACCGCCATAACCGCCGTGACCCACATCTCCGAAAGTCTGGGTAAGAATTGTTCGGGGAGGGGTTTCAACAGGAAAGGGGGTACAGTAGAAACTTGGCAACAGAAATCGCCTATGGAGTCGACTCTGAAGCGCTTGTAACTAAATCAACCAACAAGTTAAACAGAGCAGAGGGCATAGTGTCTCATGTCTGACGCTCGCATTGTGTCTCCCCTGGCCAGTTTCCCACCTATCCCCTCCTCCCCTCGCCTCCGTGTCCATGTGTCCTCGTTACCTTCCCCCCCGCCTCCCTTCCCCCGCCCAGTTTCCCACCTAACCCCCTCCTCCCCTCACCTCCGTGTCGTCCATGCATCTCATGTTAGACGCGCTCATGCCGCCGCCCCTGCCCCGTTACGTAACCCCCCCCCCCCCCCCTCCCCTTCCCCCGCCCAGTTTCCCACCTATCTCCTCCTCCCCTCACCTCGGTGTCCATGCGTCTCATGTCAGACGCACGCATGCCGCCGCCCCTGCCGCCTCCGGCCCTGGAGAGAGCGTCGCAGGAGAGAGAGTCAAAGAAGTCGTCCTTCACGTAGTTGGTGGACGCCTGGAGAGGGGGATGATGGGAGGATGGTGGGGGAATGGTAGGGGGATGTGGGGGGACAAAAGGGCGGGGGGGGAGCGGGAGGGGGGCAATACGTTGTGGTGAATACCCTGGAAAGAGCGTCGCAAGGAGAGCGTGTCAAAGAAATCGTCCTTCACGTAGTTGGTGGACACCTGGCGGGGGGAGGATGGGAGGATGGTGGCGGGATGGTGGCAGGATGGTGGGGGGATGTGGGGGGACACGAGGGCGGGGGCAGGGGGGAAGGGGGGGCCAAAACGTTGGGGTGAATACCCTGGAGAGAGCATCGCAGGAGAGGGAGTCAAAGAAGTCGTCCTTCACGTAATTGGTGGACGCCTGGAGGGGGATAGTGGGTGGGGGAACACCGGGGGCGCGGGGGGGGGGGGGGGGAGTCAGGGGGAGGGGTTGGGGGAATACGTTGTGGTACGTGCCCAGCTAGCATCGCAGGAGAGGGAGTCAAAGAAGTCGTCCTTCACGTAGTTAGTGGACGCCTGGAGGGAAGGAGGGGGCAGAGGGGCATTATGTCGGCATATAGTCACAAACAATTTAGACGTGCATGCTAAGTGCGTCGCAGGAGGAGTCAAACAAGTCGTCCTTGACGTCGTTCGTAGGTTGACGGCGCAGGAAAAGGAGTGGGGACATTTTCTAGAAATCTCAGAAGGGAGTCGCAGACTATTACCGATCCTCCCCATGTGATAATAGTTGAGTTTTGAGAATACCATCTTAACTTAGTCTCAAAACTAAAATACCATCACAAGGAGTCGCAAGACTGTTACCACTCCCCCCTGTGTCCCCCCCATTGCACTGCATGCGCCTTACCTTCTTCCCCTCTTCCCCTCCTTCCCCCTCCTGCTCCTCACTCTCCCGCTCCTCCTGCGCCTGCTGCTGCTGCTGCTGCTGCTGGTGCTGGTGCTGGTGCTGCTGCTGCTGCGGGTGCTGCTGCTGGTGGCCCCCCAGCTCGCCCCACACTTCTGCCTTGTTGAATTTCTCGTTCATGGCACTGAAATCAAACTCCTCCGCGTATGCTGCAACGTTCTGCGGGTGGGGGGATTGGAGGGGGAGGGGGCGGGGGGGAGGGAGGGGAGGGAGGAAGGGGAGGGGGAGAGGGAGGGGGAGGAGGAGGGGGAGGGGGAGGGGAGGGGGAGGGGAGGAGGAGGGGGAGGGGGAGGAGGAAGGGGAGGGGGAGGAGGAATAAAAGAGAGGCATCAGTTCGGCTTGCCCCCCCAGCTCGCCCCACACCTAGGCCTTGTTGAATTTCTCCTTCATGGTGCTGAAATCAAACTCCTCCGCATACGCTGCAGCGTTTTGTAGCAAGAAAGGACAAGGGGGGAGAGGAGGGGGGAGGAGGGAAAAGCCCAAGCAGGAAACAGGAGTGGAAACCAGGCGTGAAAAGCAGGCATGAAAAGCAGGCATGAAAAGCAGGCATGAAAAGCAGGCGTGAAAAGCAGGCATGAAAAGCAGGCATGAAAAGCAGGCATGAAAAGCAGGCATGAAAAGCAGGCGTGAAAAGCAGGCATGAAAAGCAGGCATGAAAAGCAGGCATGAAAAGCAGGCGTGAAAAGCAGGCATGAAAAGCAGGCATGAAAAGCAGGCATGAAAAGCAGGCGTGAAAAGCAGGCATGAAAAGCAGGCATGAAAAGCAGGCATGAAAAGCAGGCGTGAAAAGCAGGCATGAAAAAGCAGGCATGAAAAGCAGGCATGAAAAGCAGGCATGAAAAGCAGGCATGAAAAGCAGGCATGAAAAGCAGGCATGAAAAGCAGGCATGAAAAGCAGGCATGAAAAGCAGGCATGAAAAGCAGGCATGAAAAGCAGGCATGAAAAGCAGGCATGAAAAGCAGGCATGAAAAGCAGGCATGAAAAGCAGGCATGAAAAGCAGGCATGAAAAGCAGGCATGAAAAGCAGGCATGAAAAGCAGGCATGAAAAGCAGGCATGAAAAGCAGGCATGAAAAGCAGGCATGAAAAGCAGGCATGAAAAGCAGGCATGAAAAGCAGGCATGAAAAGCAGGCATGAAAAGCAGGCATGAAAAAGCAGGCATGAAAAGCAGGCATGAAAAGCAGGCATGAAAAGCAGGCATGAAAAGCAGGCATGAAAAGCAGGCATGAAAAGCAGGCATGAAAAGCAGGCATGAAAAGCAGGCATGAAAAGCAGGCATGAAAAGCAGGCATGAAAAGCAGGCATGAAAAGCAGGCATGAAAAGCAGGCGTGAAAAGCAGGCATGAAAAGCACACTCCCCGCCCTACCCTACCTCCCTTCTCCCCTTCCTCTCCTAATGCCCCTCCTCCCTTCTTTTCTCCCCTTCCTCCCTTTCGTTTCCCCCAACTCCCATCCCCCACTTGCCCCATCCCTCCCCCAACCTCCCCTATATCCCCCTGTCACACAACACACGGCACACTGCACACTGCAGCACTCACCTGCTGGTGAAACGCCCCTCCTCTCACCTCACCCATCACCCTGCACACTGCAGCACTCGCCTGCTGGTGAAACGCCCCTCCTCCTCCCCCTCTTCCACCTCCTCCTCCTCCTCCTCTCCCTCTCCCTCCTCCCGCCGCCCCGCCCCTTCGAGCGTGGCCAGATGGCAGCGCGCCATTGGGCTGCCGGTAGGGAGGAAGACAGGGGGACGGCGGAGGGGGTGGGGAGGGGGGGAGAAAGGGAGGGGGGGAGGGAGAAAGGGAGGGGGGGAGGGAGAAAGGGAGGGGGGGAGGGAGAAAGGGAGGGGGGGAGGGAGAAAGGGAGGGGGGGAGGGAGAAAGGGAAGGGGTGGGGAATAAGCACAACGGAAGGCCGCAAATCAGCCACTGCGCCGTCCGTCCAAGGGTGGCCAGATGGCTGCGCGCCATTGGGCCCGAGTAAATAGAGAACACTAAAGAGTGTCTTTTTCTTCTTTCCTTCCAGTCTTTAAGACTTAGGCCGAGGCAGCGGGAGAAAGAGGCAGCAAAACAAAGAGAGTGATTATTCTGAGGGGCGAAATAAAAGCAAGCCCCGGCAGGCCTGGGCGAAGACCGGGCAGGCCAGAGCAGAGATTGCCCTGCCCCACAGAAAAGGAAAAGGGGCGTCTTACCTGAGCGGACTGCTGAGGAGGCAGAGGCAGCAGCGGCTGACTCGAAGTCTCTGGCAGGGAGAAAAGAGCAGACGATAACAAACCAAGGAAACAGAGCAATGGACGGGAGAGGGGGGGGGGACGCAGCAATGGTTGAATGAAACGAACAGCGACAAGAGCGGGATATTTTTGAGAATTCCAAAAAATACCCTGAGAACGATACAAGAAGAGGAAAACAGCGATTGGTGTGTGGGAGGGGGGGGGGGGGGGGGAAGAGGAGAGCGATGAGGAGAACAGAGAACTAGAAAGGAGGTTAGAAAGGGAAGAGATGAGGAGACAGCGACTGCAAGAATTTCGAGAGACCGTGGGGGACAGGAGGGGGGGGGAGGCGAGGAGAGAGAGGAGAGGGGAGAGGGGAGAGGGGAGAGGGGCGGGGGGAGAGGAGGAGCAGGAGGGGAGACGGTTTCACACAGGGAAACATTGGGGGATGAGTGCGGAAATGGAAGGAAGTGGTTGAGAGGAGGAAAGAACGGGATGAGAATAGAAAGAAACGGCAACAGGTGATTTTTGAGTCGACTCAAAAATCATGAAAGGAGGAAAGAACGGAGTGAGAATTGAAAGAAACGGTAACAGGTTAAGACCAACGTCCCAACCAATAAGCTGCCCCACCATGATTATAAGCGCAACTACAGCTGCCGCACTGGCAGATTTGTTAGACGCCTTAAAAAGGTGGACTCACCCCGGCCTGTAGGCTGCTGCGCAATAATAGCAGGCGCAGCAGCAGGAGCCGCTGCAGCGGTTTTTTTCGACGCCTCAGAGATCGACTCACCCCAGCCGGTAGGCTGCTGGGCGATTATAGCAGGCGCAGAAGCAGCGGGCGCAGCAGCAGGCGTGGGCGCGCCTGCACCAACTCCTGCAGCCGCCACTGCACCAGACGCTCCCGCAACCGCTGCCGCCGCCGCCGCTACTGCAGCAGCTGCGGCTGAAGACACAGCAGGAGCAGGCTTGGCAGTGGCAGCGGCAAGGGCAGGGGCAGAGGGAGGAGCACTTGGGGGAGCGGTAGGCTTGGCCGCTGCAGCAGCAGCAGCAGGGGCGGGAGCTGGGACGGTGGAGGGGGGCGCAGCAGCTTTAGCAAGGTCCGCAGGAGAAAGAAGAGCCGGCTTTGGAGCTGAACCAGCGTCAGATCGAACAGCAGGAGCAGCAGCAGCAGCCGCAGCAGGGGCAGCAGAGGCAGCGGGGGCATCTGTAGGGAGAGGGGCAGCAGGAGGGGGCGCAGGAGCTTGCGCCTGCGCGGGTGCAGGCGCAGCAGGGGCGGAAGCAGGCGCGGGGGGCGCAGAGGGACCCGCGGGTGGGGCGGAAGCCCCTTCAGGCGCAGCGAGCGTACCAGGGCCCCCTCCAAGCGCGCCTGGCGCGGAATCAGGCGCAGGCGGGCCAGAGGGCGGAGGCGCGCCCATGGGCGAATACTGCTGCTGAGGATGCTGCTGCTGCTGCTGCTGTTGCTGCTGCTGCTGCTGCTGCTGTTGCTGCTGCTGCTGCTGCTGCTGCTGCATGTGGGGCGGCATACCCTGGGGAGGTCCACCTGGGGGAGGGGGAGGTGCCCCCATGTGCCCCTGCGCCCCTGGCGGATAATACCCCTGCCAGTGTTGCGGGGGGTAATAGTTCGGGGGAGGGGGGCCTGGCGGGGGACCATATCCCCCACCCCCGTGAGGGGGGGACCCATCATCCCCCCCTGCGGGAGAGGCGGAGCCCCCCACATGCCCGAGGGGGGCGGAGGGGGGTAATGGGGGTGCTGCGGACCCGGGCCATAGGCGCTGGGGGGGGGAGGCCCGGGGTAGGGGGGCGCTTGCTGGTAGGGGGGTGGCGGAGGCTGCTGTGGCTGGGGCGGGGGGAAAATTGGGGCGGGGCTGGCGGAGGGGGTTGCGGGGGGGCTGCCTGCTCGTGGGAAGGGCACGCAGGGGGACAAGGTAAGGGAGGGGGGGGGGGAAGAGGGGGAGGGGGGAAAAGGTTCGGGCAAAGGGGAAGGCGGGTGATTGCGGAAAAAGGAGGGGGAGTGAAAGAAGACACGAGGGGAGATGTGGAAAAGACGAGGATGAGGGAGGTTGACGAGTGCACAGCGCACAGTACCTTTTGAGGCGCCTCAAAAGTCGTCCCATTACGCACAGTACACAGTGCACAGCACACAGTACCGCGTACATAGACAGCGGGCAGCGAGATCACAAAAACACGGGACGTGTGCAATGAGCCAAGCCTACGAGGATTTGAAATGTTGACTAGAAGTAACTAAAAAAAATAGAGAATAACAATAAACGCATCTCAATAGGCGCCATCGTCTCGACCTTATAAACAAACGTCCTGGATGTAAAAGAAGCTAGAAGATAGAAAATATCCATTGACAATAGAAATGGCATAAAAATCGGCAAGCGCACACATAAAGGAAGGAGTGTTACAAGGAATATTCTAATTGCCTAAGGGGGACGCATGAGAACGATACCTGCTGCTGACGTGGCAACGACTTGACTTGAAGATCCTGCGAGGGGGGGGAAAAAGGCGAGTCGTTGAAGATGCGAGGACGCAACAGTCGGATCGGAATCGGAGTCACACGCTGTGAAAAGTGTACGGAATCAGAACATAGGCATGAGTCTTGACATCACACCTGGTCACGGCCGCGATCCGCAGCAGCTTCGGAAGGAGATTAAGCCTGAGGAAGGAGATTAAGCCTGAGGAAGGAGATTCGTTGCAGTCGACGCTCAGGCCACTCGGCGGTACAGACAGCGACGAGTCTATTTTTGAGGCGCCTCAAAAATAGACTCCTCACGCTCAGGCCACTCGGCGGTACAGACAGTACTGTCAGCGACGAGCACTGGGTGGCCACTCGTGACAATCCCTCGATGCTGACGCTGACGCTGATTCGGCCATCAAGCAATTGAGGTGACTTCTTAAGGCAGACTAAAAACCATCGCCACTCCGCGGTACAGGCAGCGACGAGCACTGGGCCGTGACCAACGATTAGGGCCCGACGCAGATGTTCCAGTTTTCGACTTTTGAGGCGCCTCAAAAGACAACGACTAGGGCCCGACGCAGATGTTCCAGTTTAGACTTTTGAGGCGCCTCAAAAGACAACGACTAGGGCCCGACGCAGATGTTCTTAGGTGTTCCGATTTTAGCACCTTAATATCGGTTCCGCGAAAGATGATGAAGTCGTAGACCTTGTCGCTCGGGGGGATCTGAGGGCCGTCCTTCTTCCGCCCCTCCGTCCCGAACGACCGCACTGCGCGGGTTAAGGGGAGAGCAGACAGCAAAAGAAGGGTATATTAAGAACTGACGTAGACCTTGTCGCTAGGAGATATCTGAGGGCCGTCCTTCTTCCGCCCCTCCGTCCCGAACGACCGCACTGCGCGGGTGAGAAGGAAAACAGCAAATGGCGCACGTATCTATTTTACCAAATGCTCTTCAGGGAATCGGAGAAGCACGACAGCGTCGCGGAAAGGTGGCAGCTGAGGAAAACATAAGAAGGTCCACGACGAAGAGTAGTTGCTTACGACCATAAGAACCACCGAAGCGCCCGGCCATGAGGCACACGTGTCTTGGGAATGTCGCGAAATGCGAAGCGAAGCATATTGAATAGCGAAGCGACCAGAACCCAGCAAGTTTCTCCAAGATTTATCTCTTAACGGGGCAGATCTTTTGAGTCGACTCAAAAGTCACCTCGATCTTAAGACATCACATATGGGACCGGTACGAGAAAAAACAAACCAAGGAGCGAGAGAAAAAAACCTCCCGATTTGCGAGGGTGTTAGAAAACGAACCCTATATCAGACGGACAGAAGAGCTGAAGGGTGTTGCAAACAGACGGACTAAAAAACCTACCGATTTGCAAGGCGATGTTGGCTTGCTGGGTGTCCACCGTGTACAGTACACCTCGTCGCGGATCGCGCTATCAGCAAATCTCGCTCCTAGACGTCAAACTAATCAGATGGACGGACGAAGTTACCGTTTTGCAAGATAGACGTACCGTTTTGCAGGATAGACGTACCACTTTGCAAGATAGACGTACCGTTTTGCAGGGCGATGTTAGCTTGTTGCGTGTCGACCGTATAGAGCACCCCCTCGTAGCGGATCTCGCTCTTCGAAGTCAGACTAATCAAACACCCGATGTACGAGTCCGCCCCCCCTCCTCCTCCGCCTCCGGCTCCCGCGGGAGCCGCCGCTGCGCCTCTGCTTGCTTCCCCCGCGTCCCGGGGAGCTCCTCCCCCTCCGCCTGCGCCAGACGGCGCTGCAGCTGCGCCGTCCGCGGCTGCTGCGCCTTCCTCGCCAGCCATTTTAAGAACCTAAGCGACTATTCAGGGTGGTTGTACGAAGTGCTCAACAATCCCTAATGAGATACCAAGCGAATTAGATTGCTACGACCCCCTAACTGGGAACACGAAACTAGCGGAAAACCAGATCCCGATGGCGAAAAAATCCCTACGAGGTCTGAAACGACTAACCACCAGAGGAGACGAGGATCCTAATATCAGAACGCGAACACGCCGCTAGGCGACCCAGATTAGGTCATCCATGGCCGACTTGGCAGTGGAGAGCACAGCAGAGAAGCATACGTACCAGAGCTAGTCTTTGAAGGCTGAACAGGCAGATGAGAAAGGAAGGCAGCTGATGCGTGTTCCAACCAGATGTCGAGGAACGAGGTTTCGCCAACTGTGGGAGTTCGGGCTCTGCTGTGGCTCGCGAGGGAGGTTACCAGCTGGCGAACAAACAAAAAGTAACAGGTTGGTGATATATCACAAGTTGAAAACCGCGCAATGTATCCAAGAAGGTTTCCAAAACAGATAAACCCATCCTAATGAAGACTCTAGGATCAATGTATGCTTATGTCCCTTGGCAAATCATGGTAAATATATGCCATCGAACTATGCATCTGATGGGAATACTTGTGCAAGGGAAAACTACCTCGTTAGAGTGGCAATGACAAAAAAAGCAAACCACCCCTCTGTCAGAAACCCAGTCACTAACCACTGGGTTAAAAGGGCTTGTTGAATAGCGGGTAAGTGCGCCCATAGCCCCCCAGGCTCTGCACCTGTGGCCCTTCCCCGAGGATCTCAAGGGCAACCCCAGCGGGTCACTCAACACCCCCCCCCCCGCTGGGATAGGTGGAAGACACAAGCGCCTCTGCAGCGCTGGCACTGGGAGTTGAACCCAAGACCTTTGGCTCTGATACCATGTCAGAAACCCAGTCACTAACCACTGGGTTAAAAGGGCTTGTTGAATAGCGGGTAAGTGTGCCCATAGCCCCCCAGGCTCTGCACCTGTGGCCCTTCCCCGAGGATCTCAAGGGCAACCCCAGCGGGTCACTCAACACCCTCACCCTCAATCAGAGCATAGTTATATCATTCATGACTTGCTGAATATTGTATTACCGCATGCCTCTCTTGTGGACCACAAGTCTACAACCCATCAGTGTTTATAGTGAGTGATTTGGGGTCGAGAAGGTAACGGATCGACCAGTCGAATGGCGCCACCTCAACACAATGTGTGATTGTGGGATTGACTTGGAGAGCAATCCGCTTGGCCAATGCCAACCGCGGGGCAGGGGGGAGTTGATTTAAGGCCCACTCAAGCAAGGATGGAAGGGAATCGGCAAAATCAGGACAAAACCTGTGAGGGGGAGGAAACCAAGCAGCACGATAATGGGAGAGGGAGGGAGGAGGGGGGGGGGGAGGATGGTGTGACAATGACAAGCAGTTAGGGATCTTGGAGAGTGCTTGAGAGAAGCAAGGAGAGTATAGCTCTACGACCCAGGAGATGCGAAAGACAGGGAGAACAGACGACATGATATGAAATAGAAACCAGAATGTAACCACACACCAGAATGTAACCACACACCAGTCCAGTATTTTGGGAAGAACAATGCGGTCGTTCTGACTGAGCCCCAGAGACACCTCGAGGAAGCTCTCCCTCGCCTCATCCAGCTCTGCTCTGACCGTGTGCGGTGAGAAGGCTCTCAGCTGGGGGAAGGGGAAGAGGAAGGGAAGGGGGGGGGTAAGCGTGGGTGGGGCCTCCTCCAGCTCTGCTCTGACCGTGCGCGGTGAGAAGGCTCTCAGCTGGGGGAAGGGGAAGAGGAAGGGGAGGGGGGGGGTAAGCGTGGGTGGGGCCTCCTTCAGCTCTGCTCTGACCGTGCGCGGTGAGAAGGCTCTCAGCTGGGGGAAGGGGAAGAGGAAGGGGAGTGGGGGGGTAAGCGTGGGTGGGGCCTCCTTCAGCTCTGCTCTGACCGTGTGCGGTGAGAAGGCTCTCAGCTGGGGGAAGGGGAAGAGGAAGGGGAGGGGGGGGGTAAGCGTGGGTGGGGCCTCCTCCAACTCTGCTCTGACCGTGCGCGGTGAGAAGGATCTCAGCTGGGGGAAGGGGAAGAGGAAGGGGAGTGGGGGGGTAAGCGTGGGTGGGGCCTCCTCCAGCTCTGCTCTGACCGTGTGCGGTGAGAAGGCTCTCAGCTGGGGGAAGGGGAAGAGGAAGGGGAGGGGGGGGGTAAGCGTGGGTGGGGCCTCCTCCAGCTCTGCTCTGACCGTGCGCGGTGAGAAGGCTCTCAGCTGGGGGAAGGGGAAGAGGAAGGGAAGGGGGGGGGGTAAGGTGGGTGGGGCCTCCTCCAGCTCTGCTCTGACCGTGCGCGGTGAGAAGGCTCTCAGCTGGGGGCGTGCATGGAACAGGGAGACGGAAGAAAGGGAAGGGTGACTGTGGTTGGCCCAACTGACTGAGCCCCAGAGCCAACTCCAGGAAGCTCGCCCTGGCCTCCTCCAGCCCTGCTCTGACTGTGCGGGGAGAGAAGAATCACAACTGGCGGAAGGGGAAGGGGAGCGAGAGGGAGATGCGTAGGACCCGTGTGCAATGAGCCAATTTTTGGGACACCTGTGTGAAATAGACTCATTAAGCGAGAAGGAGATGCATAGGACGGTTTGGGATAGGAGCACCCCCTCCAGCTCCAGAAACAGGAGGGTGACTGACTGAGCCCCAGAGCCAGCTCCAAGAAGCTCGCCCTGGCCTCCTGCAGCTCTGCAGCAAGAGGCGAGAGCGGAGAAAAGAGGGAGTATGCATTGAAAAGCCTAGAGCACCCCCTCCAACTCTGCTCTGACAGCTTGCGATGAGAAGACTTTCAGCTGGCAAGTGGAGGGAAAGGAAGTGGCCACGGTGACACGGGGAGGGAGAAGACTCCTAGCCGACAAGAAGACCGAGAAGGAGGGTGGATGGTAACTGGGTGGTTGAGGGGGGAGGGGGGAGGGGGGGGGGAAGAAAGAAGAGGGTGAATGCGTTTGTTTTGACTGAAACCTAGAGCCAGCTCCAGAAAACTCTCCTTTGTGTGGGCGTACAGCACGAGCTGACTTTGGAGTCGACTGAGACCTAGAGCCAGCTCCAGAAAGCTATCCTTTGGTGTGGGCGTACAGCACGAGCTTTGGAGTCGACTGAGACCTAGAGCCAGCTCCGGAAAGCTATCCTTTGGTGTGGGCGTACAGCATGCCAAGCATGAGAGGACGAACCATCTCTAGGAGACTACAATCTCTAGGCCATTAAGCGTTAGGGTGGGCTGCAGCGAAGAGAAAGAACAATCTCTAGGAGGCTCTCCTTTGTGTGGGCGTACCGTGCCTTAAAGCATGAGAGGACGAACCATCTCTAGGAGGCTCTCCTTTGTGTGGGCGTACCGTGCCTTAAAGCATGAGAGGACAAACAATCTCTAGGAGGCTCTCCTTTGTGTGGGCGTACCGTGCCTTAAAGCATGAGAGGACGAACCATCTCTAGGAGGCTCTCCTTTGTGTGGGCGTACCGTGCCTTAAAGCATGAGAGGACGAACAATCTCTAGGAGGCTCTCCTTTGTGTGGGCGTACCGTGCCTTAAAGCATGAGAGGACGAACCATCTCTAGGAGGCTCTCCTTTGTGTGGGCGTACCGTGCCTTAAAGCATGAGAGGACGAACCATCTCTAGGAGACTCTCCTTTGTGTGGGCGTACCGTGCCTTAAAGCATGAGAGGACGAACCATCTCTAGGAGGCTCTCCTTTGTGTGGGCGTACCGTGCCTTAAAGCATGAGAGGACGAACAATCTCTAGGAGACTCTCCTTTGTGTGGGCGTACCGTGCCTTAAAGCATCAGAGGACGAACAATTTGATGAATCAGAAGAACGGAGACGGTGCTGGGGGGCAGAGAGCGAAGGAGGCGCTGGGCTTGGGGGGCTGGAGCAGTACATGCGAAGAGCCTTTTGTATGGGGTTAGAAGAACGTGGGTAGAGGCTTAGAAATGCGTACCAGAGGAGCGGAGAAGGTGCCGGGGCAGAGAGCGAAGGAGACGCTGGGCTCGGGGGACTGGAGCACCCAGGAGGAGCGATAATCGTCTGGAGAAAAGGGGCGAGCCTTGAGGGCCCTGGCCTGGTGGGGTTGAATGAGGAGGGAGTATTGGGGGGGAGTATTGGGGGGGGGGGGCTTTGGAAGTGAGGGGGATGGAGACAGGATTTGAGGCGCCTCAAAACTAGACTTCTATCACGTGGTTTTGAGGCGCCTCAAAACAGGAGGTGAGGGGGATGGAGAGAGGAGAGGGCATGTGGCAGAGAGCGAAGGTGGGCTGGGGGACTGGAGCACCCAGGAGGAACGATAGTGATCTGAGGGGAAGGGGCGGGCCTTGAGGGCTCTAGCCTGGTTTAGGGTTGACGGAGGAGAGGGCATTGTGGGGGAGGGAGTATTGGGGGGGAGGGAGTATTGGGGGGAGGGAGCATTGGGGTGGAGGGAATGGAGAGAGGAGAGGGCATGGGCCAGAGAGCTCTGGGGAGAGAAGCACCCAGGAGGAGCGAAAGTCGTGTGAAGCCAAGGGGGTGGGCCTTGAGTGCCGTACCCGGATGGGTGGAGAGAGGAGAGGGTATGGTACGGGGGGAGCGAGGGAACGGGGGAGGGGGGGATGCGCAGAGCAGCAGGAGTGTCAAGGTACTGATGCATTCAGGAGGAGCGATAGTCGAGTGAAGCCAAGGGGGCGGGCCTTAGAGTGCCGTAGCCAGGTTAGATTGAGGAAGCATAGTACACCCAAGCTTTTCCTTCTCTCCCTTAGTGCGGAATATTTTTTGGCAGAACGGAATTTGTGCACCAGAGAAGGGTGGAAGGAGGCCGCCCGAAGAATGGGGATGGGGGGGGGAAATGGACATGGGGGGGGGGATGGGCATGGGGGGGGGGGGATGGGCATGGGGGGGGGGATGGGCATGGGGGGGAAGAATGGGCATGGCGGGGGTGGGGGCACAGCAAAGGGAGTGCGCACCAGAGAAGGGCGGAAGGAGGCCGCCCGAAGAATGGAGAACTCGATATCAATAGCGCTGATTGCCTTGCCCCGGATGGTGTAGGTGGCCTGAGAGGGTGAGAGGGGTGAAGAGGGGTGAGAGGGGGCGAGAGAGGGTGGGAGGGGTGGGAGGGGGTGGGAGAGTGAAGAGTGGCGGTGAGGCATGTCAGAAGTCAATCTAGGGCACTGATTGCCTGGCCTCGGATAGTGTAGGTGGCCTGAGGCACAACGGGTTGAAGGGGGAGAGTGAAGGAGGGGGGAGAGGGGGAGGGTAGGGGGAGAGGGAGGGGGGAGAAGGGGAGTGGTGGGGAGGAGGGTGCGGGAATGGAAGCATTCCCGAGGGACTGGACTTGGTATAGTGGAAAAAAGAAAGGAAGCCGCACTTAAGCAGAACACGAAGCGCGACAACGAAGCATGAGAAAGAAGAGAAAGGAACACCTGATAGGGGGAGGCACGAGAAAGAAATAAAAAAATAAAGGAAGCACGAGAGCGAGGGTTGAGGGCTTCCGAATTCGGGTCTAGGGTAAAGCAAAAGGTGCAGGGTTAAAGAATCAGAATTCTGGGTTCAGTAGAGCTCACCTGATGAAGCATGGCCATGCGCTTGGTATGAGTTGCAGGGTAGCCGTCCATGAGGAACGCCTGATAGGGGGAGAGGAGGGGAGAAGAGGGTGGGAGGAGAGGGAGAGGAGGGGGGGAGGAGAGGGGGGGGAGGGGGGGAGGAGAGGGAGAGGAGGGAGAGAGGAGGGGGAGAGGAGGGGAGAGGAGGGGGAGAGGAGGGAGAGAGGATGGGGAGAAGAGGGGGGAAAGGGAAGAAAGTGGATAGATGAAATGGAGGGACGGTGAGAAGATGCTGGGATAAAAGAGCAGAAGGCAGACAGAGAAAAAAAGTTATTAAAGAAGCGACCGGGCATGACAACAGCCCTTATGTGCATGCTCAAGACAACAGCCCTTAGATGCATGCTCTAGACAACAGCCCTTACGTGCAGCAGACAACCGTCCTAACATGCTGCAGCAGGGAGTTGTAGAGGTTGACCCCCAGAAGGCTGTCCGTCATCCTCAGGAAGTAATGCTGGACTTACACCAATCACAAACAGCCTCACATGCAGCAGACAACAGCGCTCACATGCAGCAGATAACAGCGCTCACGTGCAGCAGACAACAGCGCTCACATGCAGCAGATAACAGCGCTCACATGCAGCAGATAACAGCGCTCACATGCAGCAGACAGCAGCGCTCACGTGCAGCAGACAACAGCGCTCACATGCAGCAGACAGCAGCGCTCACATGCAGCAGACAACAGCGCTCACATGCAGCAGACAGCGGTCTTACATGCAGAAGCAGGGAGTTGTAGAGGTTGACCCAGAAGGCTATCCGCTCGTCCTCTGACAATAGCACTGGGTTCACGTCATCTAGCTGCTCCACCAGCATTCTGATGTGCGCCAGGGGGAGACATGGAGGACAGGTGGGCACGTGAGGGGGAGACACAGAGGACAGGTGAGCACGCGAAAGAAAGACATGGAGGACAGGTGTTTACTATGGTTGGGCATGAGCACAGATATTGAGCGCAGGTGTTTACTATGGTTCAGGTTTCAGATATTGAGTCAAAGGCTCTGAGTCCCCTCACGAGCCACACAGCATCCACCAACCTGTATTCGAAGTAGGGAGAAGTCAACTCACCTGTGTAGGCAGTAGGGAGAAGTCAACTCACCTGTGTAGGCAGTAGGGAGAAGTCAACTCACCTGTGTAGGCAGTAGGGAGAAGTCAACTCACCTGTGTAGGCAGTAGGGAGAGGTCGCCTGTAGCGGCAGAGCAGGAAGATGTCAGCACTGCTGAACGAGTCAGGCAGAAGCACGGCAGTGACCTCCATGGTCGCACTGTAAGTCCCCACCTCACACAGCACCCCCCTGTGTCGGCCGCAATAGAGTGGCACGCACCTGACTTTTGAGTCGACTCAAAAGCCATGGCTGCGCTGTAAGTCTCCACCTCACACAGCACCCACCTGTGTTGGCAATAGAGTGACACGCACCTGTATGCGCGCACACACCTGTACCAGTCAGACGCACCTGTAGCGGCAGAGCAGGAAGATGTCTGCACTGCTGAACGAGTCGGGCAGAGGCACAGCAGTCACCTCCATGGCTGCGCTGTACCCCGCCACCACTGGCGCGCACGGGTGCCCCTCCAACCCCCCGTATGGATCCACGAACCCCTCCGGCCTCTTCCCAACCCCTACTTCTGCGATTCTAGCAGCTGCTGACGCGCCTGTGTCTGCTCCTATACCAGCAGCAGCAGCAGCAGGAGCAGTAGAAGGAGCGCAGGAGGCAGAGCGTGGCATGGCATTGGCTGCCTTACTGCTGCTGCTGCTGCTGCTGCCACCCCGGTCTCTGGCGGAGGTGTCAGTGCTTGCTCTCGTGATTCCCGATGGCTCTAGAAGCTTCTCTGCCTCTTCCTGTTCCTCAAACCCTTCCCAACCCCCTGTCCCCCCCCTGCTCCTGTCCCTCCCCCTGCCCCTGTCCCGCTGCCTGCCCCTGCCCTCCGCCCCCTGCTTGCCTCCAGGGAATGCCGAGCGCAGCCACTGGGGCGCCTTGGCTGTAGCAGAGGCGAGAGCCAGCCCCCTACGGGACTTGGAGGCTGGGTCTGAGGCGAAGAGAGAAGGCTTCTTGGAGAGAGAGGGAGTGAGGGAGGGAGTGAGGGAGGGAGTGAGGGAGGGAGTGAGAGGGGGGTATGAAGGGGTGGTGGGAGGAAGCAGGAAGATGCTGCTGTCTCCTGGATCTGTTGATTCAGTACTATTCGAGAGTGCTTGTAACGGGCCTAAAGTATCGCTATCGGCACTGTTACTATCACCTCTATCCCCTCCCTCCCCCACCACACTTGTTGGAAGGTTATGGCGGATTGAGCCACTCAGACCCCCTAGACTCCCAGTTGACCCTCCTTTCCCAACTCCCTCCTCCCCCTCTGGCGCAGCACAGGGCAGGTCTGACGTGGCACACGCCAAATCTGACGCACCACGGGCCTGATCTGACGTGGCACTGGCCTGATTCGCCGCAGCATGGGCGGGATCCGCCGCAGCGCGGGCCTGGTCCGAGGCAAGGAGCAGAGCAGCGGCGCGCCGTGTCCCCTCCCCAAGGCCCCACACGGCGGGATGGGCGTGGTGCAGATAGATGGAGGCGATTGACTTGAGCATCTCTTCGGATAGAGCGCACGGGCGGGAGCGGAGATCCTCTAGCTCGAGGGAAAGAGGGGTGGAATCTGCTGCAGGGAGAGAGGAGGCGCGGGAGGAGGAGGAGGGTTGGCGGGTTGAGGAGGAGGTTTTTATCGTTTTTTGGAGGTGGTTGATGGATTTGGCAAGGGATTTACGGAAGGATTTGCGGGAGGTGGATTCTCCTGAGAGGGTGGAGGAGGGAGTGGATGCAGGGGGGGGTGCGACTGCTGCCAGGTGCGCAATAGTGCCACTACTGCTGTTTCTGGTGCTGCCAATGCTGGCAGAGGTGCTGGAGCAAACCCTTTCGCCTGTTCTGGTTACCAGTTCAGTTGCAGGGGCTTCTGCAGTGGAGACACGTGGGATGCGTGGCTTTGCCTCCGGTGAGACCTCTGGCGGTGCAGGTTCCTGCACCAGAGGTATCGGCTGCACACTAGATGCAGCTGGAAGGACACCCGCTGCAGCTGCTGCATCCAGTGCCCCTGCTTTAGCTGCTCCCTGCTTCTGCTCCTCTGTCTGCTCCTGCTCCTCTAGTCCCCCCTGCTCCTTGGCCTCTGCTCCCGTCTGTCCTCCCTTCCCAGTCTCCCAACCCTCCTGCTCCTGCTTCTGCTGCTGCTGCAGCAAAATCATGTCGATATTTGAACCAGAACCCAAGTCAGGTTCCCCCACCTGTTCGTTAGACGAATCCCTCAAGCCACTCTGCAACGGAACGGCCTTTCTTGGAAGAGGAGCAATGAGCCCCAAAGCATGCCCAACGTCCGATCCTGATTCACAATCCAACGCCCTATAATTCAGTGCCACTCCCACGCTCTGCGTCCGCCTCGGGCTTAGCAGCTCAGGCCTGGAACTAGGCTCGGCAGCAGGTTTGGAGAGGCCTGACGAACCCAAGCCTGCCACGTCAGCAGACGCCCACCGTTCCAATGAGTCGATCGTCACAAAGGGATTGCCGCTGACCGCTGGCGTGTATCTGGCTGGCTCGGCTGCTGCCAAGCCTGCTCCCGAGCCCGGCGCCGAACCAAGCGGAGGCTTTGGGTAAGACTGCAAGGGCCTTGCTGTATTAGCAACATTAGCTGCGGGTGCGGCAGAACTACCTCCCGTGTTGCCTCCCGTGCTACAGCCACTGTCACCTCCTGCGTTGCCCCCTGTGCTGGCCCCTAGCAAATTGAAGTCAAACCCTGACCCTCCCCCGCTGCTGCTGCCACCCTTCCCTTCCTTGCTTCCTTTCCTCGAGAACCCTCTGCTCTTCTTCTCCTTCGCTTCTTTGCCCTTCTTGCCGTGCTCACGCTTCCCTTTGCCTGAGAGCTCAGCCTCACTTGAAGAGATGAGGGCTTCTAGCACTGCTGAGAGAGACTGCTGCTGCTGCTGCTGCTGCTGCTGCTGTTGCCTCTCTTCCCATTCCTCTCCCCCGGCCCGTTCCCACCTCCCCCTCCCAGTTCTCTACCGTCTCCTCCCCAAACCACCCTACCCTCACTCTCACCTTCCATCCACGCCTCTATATCCCCCACCTCCCCCACCTCCCCCACCTCCCCCACCTCCTCCACCTCCTCCTCCTCTTCCTCCTCTCCTTTCTCCTGAGAGACCGCCTCCCCCTCCTGCTCCCTCACATGCGCACTCCCCTCTTCCCCTCACACCCATCCCCACCCTCCCCAACCCCCTGCTGACCCACACCTTTCCCCCATCCCTCCTCTCCACCTTCCTGCCACCCCGCCCTCGTCCTCTCTCCTTCCTCTCCCCTCTGCCCCTGCCTACCTCCTCCCTCCAGCCCACCTGAACCATCTCGGAGAACGATCCAACGGCCAGGAACTTCCGATGGGCTGAGCTTTGGCCAGCTTCCGGCAGGTCCTCAGTAAGATCTTCTGCATCTTGACCTGTGGGGCTCGTGCTTCCCTCTTCCCCCGTACAGTCATTGTTTATTACAAGCACATTAGCCTGTTCTGACTGCCGCCTTTCCCCCTGAGTGGTCCACCCAGTCAGGCCTGCACCAGCAGCAACTGATGCATCAACAGCAGCAACGGCAGCAGCAGCTACTGCACCAGCTGTAGCACCAGCTGTAGCACCAGCAGCTGTAGCTGATAGATCAGCAAAAGCACCTTCCTTGGTTGTCCCATCCCCAGAAACGACACCCAGCGCCACCCCAGAGTCATCCCCACCAGACCTAGCCCCATCAGTGAACCAGCCATCCCGAGCCTCATCCCCAGGTTCGGAGTTGTTCCGAGCGTAACCGACGTGCATACCTGGCGCATGCCGTGCTGCAAAGGAAAACATCTTTCCCAGGGGGGAGCGGGGACGGGAGGAGGAGGAGGAGGAGGAGGGGGAGGAGTGGGTGGTGGGGCTGTAGGAGCGATGTCTGTCGGGGGTTTTGGCCCGGCGGAAGGAGAGCGAGGGTCGCATGCGCTCGGGGCTCTTGTTGCTCGCGAGCAGAATGGAGGGTATGAGGGAGTCGGAGGCAAGAGCGATCATGCTGCTGCTGTCCGTGTTGCTGTCCGTGTTGCTGGCCGTGTTGCTGCTGACCGTGCTGCCTGCGTCTGAGGCCACTTTGAGGGACTGGGACCTGAGGGTAGCGCCTGCCGCTCCACCGCCGCCACCACCTTTCTCTTCTTGAAGGACACTCGGGCTATCCTCACCTCTTCTTTCCTTGAAGCTCAATTCGTGCGGATTCTCGTGCCCATGCCCATGCCCGTGCCCGTGCCCATGCCCATGCCCATGCCCGTGCCCGTGCCCACGCCCATGCCTATCGGCATGGCCCTGCCCACCCCCATGGGCATGCTCCAAGGCATCAGCATCGGCAACTGAAGCGCCTGACCGATGCGCGGCAGAGGCGCTGCGGCTGAATCGAGAAAACACCCCCGGCGTGCACGTGGGGGACCACGACCCTTCATTCAACCCATCCCAATCCTCGATCTCCCCCCTCTCCCCCCTCTCCCCCCTCTCCTCCTCCCCTCTCCCCTTGCATCCTCCTCCCCTGCCGCCTTCCTCCCCTGACCCGCCTCTCCTCCCCTCCAACCGCCTTTAGCTGCCCCCCCCACGCTCTCGCCCCTCCCACGCCCAGCAGCTGCCTGAAAACCCCTCTGCAGACGCGCTCCTAGCAGCAACCAGACCGGTGTTAGAGGCCAGGGCAAGCGGCACGGCACCTGTGAGATCAGCAGACGTGTGGCGAGGCAGCTCGGGGATGCCCAGCGCAGGAGCATCAACCTTATTGAGCTCCTCTCTATTGTCAGAGGCGCGGCGGGCAAAGGAGCGTGTGAGAGACGGCTGAGTGAGTGATCGTGTGGCTGGAGGGGGGATGAGATAATCCTCTTCGTCCTCCAACTCTCCCTCTCTTCCCGCTCCCCCCACTCCCCCCACTCCCCCCTTCCCGCCCTCTCCGCCCTCATCTGCTCCCCCCCTACCAGGATAGCTCGGAGCCTTCCGCCTGCTGTGGCTGCTTTCACGGTCAGTGTGTGGGGCAACGTCGGTAACGCGCCGGCCCCGCACCACCCTAACCCCGCCCTTCCACCCGCTGCCACACCACCAGCACCACTGCTGCTGCTAGTGTTGTTGCCCTTCGCAGCGTCCGCCAGACTTCGCAAATCAGCCTCAGTGGACGATAAATACCTGCCTAAATTCCTAAACGGAGACATGCCCCGACTCAACGGCTTACCACCGGTAACCGCGTTACCAGCAGCACCAGCAGCAGCAGCAGATGCACCACTATACCCGATGCCACCCGCCACAGCACCAGGATCACCGCCACTTCCAGACCTATAGTGAACGCCTGATCTTGCACCCCAGGCTGAGCTCCCTCCGTCTCCCCCTCTAGGCGATGTCAACCCACCCCCTGGGAGGTACCCCTCCTCCCCCTCCTCTGCCTCATCCCCTCCTCCCACTCCCGCCCCTCCTGCCCCCCCTCCTCCTCCTCCTGCTCCTCCCCATGGCACACTCCCCGCCCCACTCACCACTTCTTCTTCAGCTTCTGAAGTACCTTCAGCCGTGCCTTCCCCCCTCCTCCCCCTCCTCCACCACCACCCCCCCCTCCTCCTCCTCCTCCTCCTCCTCCCTTACCTCCTCCTCCCGCCATGTGGGAATCACTACCCCCTTTCAGATGCATCATATCCTCTTCTTCTAAGCCCATCCGCCCCTGCCAATCAAAATTCCCCATGCTTTCCGCTCCCCTCCCGCTTCCCCTTCCCCCTCCCCTCTCCCCTCCTCCTCCACCCCACTTCCCCCCTCCCCTGCTGCTGTCTCCTCTGCTTCCAACCTCTTCCCTAACTCCTCCCATGTCCCACTCCCCCTCTCCTTCTCCTCCCCCCTTCCCTCATCCCCTTCACATCAGTCACATCCTTTAGAAGGTCCTTCAGCTTATGCAACTGGGTGCTGGACGAAAGGGTAGAGTGACTATGCCCGAGGATCGAGGCCCGAGATCCACCAGCGTGGGAAAAAGAGGCAGAGAAATCCCCCCCTCCTGCTCCCCCTCCTATGGCACTACCAGCAGCAAAAGCAGCGGCAGCTGCAGCGGCGGCAGCAGCAGAGGCGGCACCAATAGCAGCAGTGACAGTGGAAGGGACATGTGCACTGGTGTTGAGTGTGTTGATGAGGTCCTTTATGAGGGAGGCGAAGACGGGGGAGGTGGCATCTAGTGCAGGGTCACTCAGAATCTGGTCGAGAAACTCCTCTACCTGGGAGGGAGCGGGAGAGACAGAGATGCCGACGGAAGGAATAATTATTGGCCCTGCCGGGGGAGGTGGCATCTAGGGCAGGATGACTCTGGATTTGGTCAAGAAAGTCTTCCACTCCACCTGAGAGACCTGGGAGGGAGAGGGTGGGCAGCATATGGGGGGAGGGAGGCTAGGAGGCAGCGGGACAGACAGACACAGGAAGCGAGGAATACAGAGGGAAGATCAGCCTGCTAGAAAAAGGGAGGAGAGCCGGGTTAGAATATAGCGCAGCAGGGAGGAATGGCACCTACGCAGTCAGCTGCAGCTTGCCTGTTCGCAGCCATGTATGCCACATACCCAAGGGCTCATATTTTACCCTCTCTTCCCCCACCCAAGTGCTCACCTTCTCGCTCTCCTTCCTCTCGTTCTGAATGAGCTCCTTGAGCACCTCCCGCTGCGCCATCAGCTTCACTCGCCCCCTTTGCCCCGCTCTGCCTCTCACCCCCTCGACCCCCTATGGCCGTTCACCCAGGCCTCCCGTCCCTTTCCCCTTCCCCCGGAGCACGCACCTTCTCGTTCTCCTTCCTCTCGTTCTGAATCAGCTCCTTGAGCACTTCCCGCTGCGCCGTCAGCTGCAGCCTGCACGTATGCATGTATTTATGCGCATATGACACATGCCCCAAAGGCTCACCTTTCACCTTCTCTTCCCCCAACGCTCACCTTCTCGTTCTCCTTCCTCTCGTTCTGAATCAGCTCCTTGAGCACTTCCCGCTGCGCCGTCAGCTGCAACCTGCACACCCACCACGCCCAGCAAACACCGGAAGCGTTTTGAGTCAACTCAAAAAACACCGGAAGCAAAGACATGACACCTTCTTAGATTTCTCAGGATGAAAGGCAGCTGAAACAGAGACATGCGCAAACGCGAACGCTTGCACACAGCATGCACACAGGAACGTGTGCAACATGTCCCCCCCCCCCCCCCCCCCCCAACTCACAGCTGCATTTGAGCGGTGTGGATGCTGCGCACGGCACTGGGTGACCCTCGGCCCGGCCCAGTGCACCTGCTCCAACTATTTCTCCACAATCAGCCCCATCCCAACTCCCTCCCCCTTCCCCCCACCCCCCACTCCCCCCCTCTCCCCCACGGCCCAGTGCATCTGCTCCGACGCACACTCCAGGTTGATTAAAGGCCCAGTTCATTAAGAAAACACACCCAACTCACAGCTGCATCTGTGCCGTGTGAATGGCGCGAACGGCTCCCCGCGACCCCACGGCCCAGTGCACCCGCTCCAATGCTCGCTCCAGATTCACCCTCTCCGCACTGGCTCCCCTCCCACCCCCATGCCCGCCATCCCAACCCACTCACAGCTGCATCTGTGCCATGTGAATGGCACGCACAGCGCCAGGCGACCCCACGGCCGAGTGCGCCTGCTCCAATGCTTGCTCCAGGTTGACCCTCTCCACGTTGACTTTCCCCCCTCCCCACCTTTCTCAACACCACAACCCACTCACAGCTGCATCTGTGCCGTGTGTATGGCGCGCACGGCGCCAGGTGACCCCACGGCCAAGTGCGCCTGCTCCAATGCTCGATCCAGGTTGACCCTCTCCACGTTCAGCTCCAGCAGCAGCTTGCGCGTGTGCCCCACCTCGTCGCCCCAGTGGATGCACGTCCCTGTGCAGCTGCCGTTCTGCTCGGTCTTGTTCCTCCTGTCAGTCAGCGCACGTTACGGGGGATGGACGGGGGGGCAGGAGGACAGGGGGGATGGTGGGGACTGGTTGGCCCGCTCCACGTTCAGTTCCAGCAGCAGCTTGCGCGAGTGCCCCGCCTCGTCGCCCCAGTGATGCACGTCCCTGTGTAACTGTCTCTCTGCTCGGTCCTGCTCGTCCTGTAGCTGTACGCGGGGGAAAGGGTGGCAATACAGGGACTGGTTGGCCCGCTCCACGTTCAGCTCCAGCAGCAGCTTGCGCGTGTGCCCCACCTCGTCGCCCCAGTGGCACACCTCCCCGTGGAGCTGCCTCTCCTTCCGGTCTTGCTCCTCCTGTTAGCGAGCATGGGAGGGGAGCCTGGTGGGTTTACAGAGAAAATGCGGGTAAGTTTGAGAGACCACGAGGGTAGGCACCCACCCCACCTCGTCGCCCCAGTGGCGCACCTCCCTGTGGAGCTGCCTCTCCTTCCGGTCCTGCTCCTCCTGTTGACGGGAGGGGGGGTACGACTAGAGGGTAGAGGTAACTTCGAGAACACTGCGGAGGGAGGGTACGACTGACCCGGTGCCGAGGAGTCTCCTTGCGGTGGACGCGCGGAGCTGCTGCCCGTGGGAGATCTTCTTCAAGTACTTGAGTCGGTGCCGGGAGACCCTTAGGGTCCTCCGGACCGGGCTGATAGGACTCACCTTTGTGCGTGTCCATGTGCCTTGTCTGTACCCTTCTTCTACATAATACAAAGGACCAATTTGAGGGTACGAATAGAGGGTAGAGGTAACTTCAAGAACACCACTCCCGCAGCAGCTTGCCCATGTGCGCCCCACCTCGTCGCCCCACTCCCTGTGCTCACATTCCACTTTAAGATCACCGCTCCCTGTTCGCTCACCCGCACGGGCAGTCCGGCGGCCTGGCAGTGTGGGCATGCTGGCCCCTGCCACGACGATCGGCCCACCAGCATCATTTACTCGGTAACTCCCTATCCCTTGCGTGCCCTAGTTGTCCCCTGCGCCACATCTCACCTTCTCACAAACCCCACTTCTCACCTGCACAGGCAGTGCGGGCATGTCAGCCCCTGCCACGGCAATCATTCCCACCAGCGTCGTTCCCTTGCTAACCCCCTTCCTCTTGGTCCATATTTTCTCGTATAGAGGCCCCTCAAACCTGCCGTAATTGTCACCTTCCCCAGTTGTCACCTGCACGGGTAGTGTGGGCATGTCGGCCCCTGCCATGGCGATGAGATCCACCAGCCTCTCCTGCCTCGCGAGCTCCCGCTCCACCTCCTCCTCCAGCCGCAGCACCTGTGGTGATTGAAGCGATAAGCACGGCACACAGTGAGTCACAATAGTTACTGGTCACAGTTCCACCAGTTATCCAACACCCACCAGCCTCTCCTGCCTCACGAGCTCCCTCTCCACCTCCTCCCCTGGCCGCAGCAGCTGCAAGGCTGGTATACAGGGACAAGCAGACACGCGTATTGACGCCTGCACTGAGACCCCACAGACCTGCGAAGTGTTTCCTGCCTCGCAAGCTCCCGCTCCACCTCCTCCACCAACCGCAGCACCTGCAGGGAAGGTATAACAACGACAAGCAGACATGCTTACTGGCACCCTTCTTTCTTCCCTTCCCTCCTCCCTCCTCCCTTCCCCTCCCTTCCTCTCACCATCCCCCACCTCCCCTTCGATCAGCACCCATCCGTCCTCCCCTTACACCAGTCCAATCCACAGTTATTCTCCTCTTGTGTTGACCAAGAACATTATGTCCTCCTACGGTCCTACTCCACTATGCATACAAACGAGTCCATACAATAACGAGTTTTGTGATGTCTCAGCAATCCCTTACCCCAGTGTCCATCAGGGAGACGTTGCTCCGGGTGCGCCTCCGGCCCTCCCCTCCCCTTTCCACTCCTCGTTCGCCATCTCTACCGTACTTCCTCGCCTCCAACCTATGCAGCGACGCACCCCCCTCCCTTCCCACCGCTCTGCCTTGCCCGCCCTGGCCGTTGCTTCCTCTGCTCTCAGACACCTGGCTTGTCACACCCTCGCTCTCGTGCTGCTGCTGCAGCTCCTGCTCTCGAGGGGTCGCCTGACTCTGGTCCCGCTTCCGCTGCTGCTTCTGCTGGGCCGAGCTTCTGTTGTCTTCCCGCTCAGCACTGCTGGTGGTAACCATCCCTTGTCCATTGTGGGACTCGTCTAAGCCAGCGATCTGGGTCAATGCAACATTGGAAGCCGTGGTGTTTGTAGCATTAGCGTCTCCGACCATCTGCACCGCTTCATTCACTGCTCTCTCTGCCGCCGCTGCTTTCGCAGCAGCCACAGCTGCCGCCAGCCGTCCATCTATAGCCACAGTCCCTCCCAGCCGTCCATCTATAACCATTCCCGCTGCTTCAGCAGGAGCAGTGGAATCTGCAGCAGCGTTGCCGCCTTGGGAGCCTGGGCCGCCTGGGCCCCCCTGAGATGCTTCAGTTGCTGCTGCTCTCTCTGCCGCTGCTGCTTTCTCGGCTGCAGCTGCCTTCGCAGCGGCCACTGCTGCCGCCAGCCTCCCATCCCTGATCATACCAGCTCCTCAGAATAAACTTATACACAATCTCTTATCGCAGTCAGAAGCAGAAGCCGAGTCGAATCATAGCTGCTCCGCAGATGTAACTGATCAGCAGTCTGTCGTCTCAATCCCTGGCAAAATGCTGACAAAATGCTGCAGTAGGTGCTGCTGCCTACATTCCCCGGCAAAAGCAGCGTGGAGCACCAGCAAGGGATATCCGCCAAAAAGGATTTCAGACGTCGGAATTGCTGCGCTAGCTAGGTGTTGCGCCTTGACAGGTCCGGGTCCCTGCGAAAGAAGGGAAAGGCGGGAAGAAACACGGTCAGGACTCGGGTCAGTAGCTTTAATTTGAGGTGCATTTTAATTAATTTCGTTCCTCTTTTGGCATTCACGAAAAGTGCACTCCTTAATACCGGTAAAAGCTGCATGATAAGATTAAACGAAGCGAATGCATGCCGTTTATCAGTAGACTTCATGTAGGCAGCAGAAGTACGAATAAGAGACATCCTAAATGCGCGGTCAGGTATAATGCTAAAGCTTGCAAGAATGATAAGACGCCGAAACAACAAAAACACCGAATCTTCGAGAAAGCGTTAACCTTTTAATCGTCACTATCGTCTTGGTTTCGTCAACGCATCGCAGGAGAACAATGCAGGTGCTCTGGATCATGAAACCCTAAAGTCGTCACCCCAGGAAGGCTGCAGCATTCTTCTAGCACTCCTAAATCATATTCCGGTTAGCCAACAGAATACCATCTCCGTCTGTCAAGCTATGACGAATTCCACTTCTCATCAGTGTCCTGTCAACCCAGCAGCTTTTGTCCTGTGAAAACAGTAGTGTGAGTGGTTTACTCGCATACTGTACCACCTACAGTTTGTCTCCAAAAAGTCCAAGTGTTCTACACTTGGCTGGCTACGTTTATGGGAAACGCTGATGCGGTAGCCGAAATGTTTACCGAACCAAATTTCGAGCTGATTCTGGGTTACCTTGATTTCAAGTCTTTCACACTTGAAGCACGATGTGGAACTATCAGACTCCAGCTGGGCACCTGATCCACTCCATCGACCACCCAAGAGCAAGCTTGTCTGACAGATGCGAGGCAAAGGCGCACACCTGCACACACATTAGCGCAGCGCAAGAGCGGAATTTATCCCGCGGCTGGGGGGAGGGGAGGGGGGGGGAGGGGAGGGAGGGGGGGAGTCAGTTTTGTTGAGGTTGGGGGGAATTTCGATTGGCGCGAGGGCAGATGGGGAAAACTAGCCACCAGTGAGCGATGCCCCTGCGCCTCCGCGAAGAAGGTGGTTGGTTGGTGGTGGGTTCTGTTGCTGTCCCTCCACAGACTGGCTGTCGGCACTGTTGTACATATAATATAATTTCCTTACAAATGACACCCTTATTTCCTAAACTTACACAAAATACAATGCACGCAAGCTAGCTTCCAAACCGAAAGAGGTGGAAGTCTATGACCCCACGGTGAAAATAAAAAATAAAAAAATTGCAGCGCTGCATGCTGCACTATGTCGTGCACCATGCTCCATGTGGAGTGGAGGGTTAGTAACCACAGCTGGCTTGTTGAGGTTAGCAGTGAGGAAACACAAGACCTCGTAACAGAGCTGCCTTGAGCAGCCTAGGTAGATCTGCGAGGCGTGGTGACGATGCACATATTCATCTTTCCGCCAGGAAAAACGCCTCCTGCATGTGGGGTAAAACCGCTTCTTCCCATTCAGTAAACCCGAAACCCCGGAGGCTCCACAGCATATTGGCCGCCTCCACCCATCATCCCACCGCGCATCACCCCACCACCACCACCGCCGCCACCACCTCTACCTTCCCCACCCATCCCTCGGCTACTGTCCCCATAGTCCTCATAGTACCTGCCGCTACCAGCAGCAGCAGCAACACCACCACTAGCGATATGACTCTGGGTAGCCGGGTAAGTGCCCCTTCTGTATAAGGGGGAGGATGGTGAAGGGCGGTGGTAGGGGAGGGAGTGAGTAGGAGGAGAACAGGGAGAGTAGAAGGGAGTATTCTCAGGAAGGGGATAGGGTTGGTTGGCAGACGAGTAGTGGGTGAGGGCGCATAGAGTGATAGGTAGTGGGGAGCAAACTGTGACAAATGCATATGTGATTGATAAAGCAACAGGCATACATGGCGTAGAAGAGAGCAGTAACCAAAGAAGTTACACCTGCAACACACATACCATTAAAGCAACAAACCCACATGCCCCCTACCTGCCAATCTCAGCTAGCTGGTGAGGAGAGGCGGGTGGAGAGGCAGACTCAGCCACGGAGCCAGAGCGGGAGAGAACTGGAGGGGGGGGAGGGGGGAGGGAGGGGCGGGGGGAAGGGGCGGTCTGAGTCTACTCAAAAGCTAGCTGGTGAGGAGAGGCGGGTGGAGAGGTAGATTCAGCCACGGAGCCAGAGAGGGAGAGAACTGGAGGGGGTGGTGGAAGGGGGAGGGGGGGAGGAGGAGGCGGTCTGATTCCACTCAAAAGCTAGCTGGTGAGATGGGAAATGAGCAATATGAAAACGGAAGAAACGCGAGAGAGGAGAAAAACGAGAAAACCTTTCGACAACCGTGCTCTGCCCTTCATGCCCCTTGTGCCCCGTGTGCCCTGAGTGCCCCTTGTGCCCCGTGTGCCCCTTGAGCCCCTTGTGCCCCTTGAGCCCCTTGTGCCCCTTGAGCCCCTTGTGCCCCTTGTGCCCCTTGTGCTCCTTGAACCCCATGTGTCTTGTTTCAACCCCTCACCTGCTCCAGCAGAGTTGCTTTGGCTGACAGATACCGACTTGTCCTGTGGGGGGAAGAGAGACGGGGGAGAGGGGAGAGGGGAGAGGAAGCGGCGGAGGAGGGGGGTGAGGTGGGGTGGTTTTTGAGTCGATTCAGAAGCCCCCGCACCTGCTCCAGCAGAGTTGCTTTGGCTGACAGACACCGACTTGTCCTGTGGGAGAAGAGAGACTGGGAACGACGGGAGGGGGAAGGAGAGAGGAGAGAGGTGGAGGAGGGGAGGGGGGACGGAGGAGGGGGGGGGTTGGGTTGGGGGGGGGGGGTAATTTCAATCATTTACAAGTACTCTGGAACTTCAGGGCGGTTTCGGGTTTAGTTTTTAGGGTTTAGCTACTATCCCGTTTCTTGTGTGGTACGGAGGGAAGTAGTTTAGGGCACGGGACATCGGTGGCATAACACCAAAATCCGAACCATTTCGTATTTTAGGGCAGTACGAACCACTCCAGAGATGGTTCGAACCACCTGCCGAACCAGGCAGTTTTGAGGCGCCTCAAAACCTGCCGAACCAGGCAGTTTCAGAGGTTCCAAGCTGGGACGTTCCAACTTTGAAATTCAAACTCATCACTTCAATTTGTGCGAAACCTGAGTCAATTCGCCAGCAGTCGAAATTCGCGAACAACCAGCGGCTACATGACAGTTGTTTTCGCAGTAGGCTTTCGTGATTTTGCCGACGCCAAAAGGCTGGCAGTTCATACGTAGCGGAGTGGCCGTTCGAACTGGTAAATTCGTCACGCATGTTCCATCGCCGCTATGAATTTGGGCGAGAAATTTTGTCGACATGCGAAATGTCCTCGCGAATTTTGCGAAAACAGTAACCACCTCGAAATCATACCGTTTTCGAAATAACGAATTGGAGGACCCGCGCCCTTAGTTTTGAGACGTCTCAAAACCATTAATTTCAGTCATCTACAAGTACTCTGGAACTTCAGTTACTATACCGTGGTAGGGAGGGAAGGAGGCAGGGAGGACGGGAGTGAGACAGGGGAAGGGAGGATGGGGAGAGGGATAGATAAGATAGCATGGGTTTCGTACTGAACAAAACGCATGGTGCACGGATACATGGACACCAAGCAAGCATGCATGGTGCATGGTGCATGGACGCACAGGCGTTCCAGACTTACAGTTACAGATCGCCAGGACATGGAGCCGGCTGGATGCGAGGACTTGACAGGCACAGACGCGGAAAGGTCTTGACTCGACTAGAAAAGAGAGATGCACGAAGGTCTGACTTACAGATCGAATGAACCGGGAGCCAACTGGATGTGAAGACTTGACACTGTCAACTTGATAGAGGAAGATGCAGAATGGCTTTGACGCGACTTGAAAAAAAAAGGCGGATGCACAAAGGTCTTGACTTAGCGATCGACTGGACATGGGGCCGACTGGATGCATGCAATGAGTTGACAGATGCGGATGCAAACGTGGAATGTCTACTTTTGAGTCGTCTCAAAAGTAGACTACTTAACCACAGATGCGGACGCAAACGCGGAATGTCTACTTTTGAGTCGTCTCAAAAGTAGACTACTTAAACCACAGATGCGGACGCAAAGGAGGAATGCTTTCTACTCGACTAACAAGAAAGAGATGCACATAGGTCCTGACTAACATGACTTGCAGATCGGCTGGACATGACTTACAGATCGGCTTGGAGCCGACTGCATGTGAGGAGTTGACAGATGCGGACGCGGAATGGCGAGCCATGCCTGGGATACAGGGGGTGGTGGGAGGGAGGGGAGCAGTTGAGTTTTGAGACGTCTCAAAACATGCCAGAGATACGGGGGGGTGGTGGGAGGGAGGGGAGCAGTTGAGTTTTGAGACGTCTCAAAACATGCCAGGGATATGGGGGGTGGGAAGGGAGGGGAGCGTGCCAGGGAAGGAAGGAAGGAAGGCTAGGAAGAGATGAGGCGAAACGAAGCAACCGAAAGCATGGTCTGAAGTGACAGAGGCAGATGAGGAATCGAAATGGGGAGGGCATGTGGGCCTTTTCAAAATAACAGGGTGCGTAGGGGAGGGGAGCGCGCAAGGAAAAGCAAGGAAGGCAAGAAAGACAAGGGCAGAGTGAGAGTGAGAGGACGCGACAGGAGAAGGGGCACGGTATGGCTGGTAAAGCATGGCATGGCATGCGATGGCATGGCATGTGATGGCATGGCGTGTGAGGGCATGGCATGTGAGGGCATGGCATGTGATGGCAAGGCATGTGAGGGCATGGCATGTGATGGCATGGCATGTGAGGGCATGGCATGTGATGGCATGGCATGCGATGGCATGGCATGTGATGGCATGGCATGCGATGGCATGGCATGTGATGGCATGGCATGTGATGGCATGGCGTGTGAGGGCATGGCATGTGAGGGCATGGCATGTGATGGCATGGCATGCGATGGCATGGCATGTGATGGCATGGCGTGTGATGGCATGGCGTGGGATGGCATGGCATGCGATGGCATGGCATGTGATGGCATGGCATGTGATGGCATGGCATGTGATGGCATGGCGTGGGACGGCATGGCATGTGATGGCATGGCGTGTGATGGCATGGCATGTGATGGCATGGCGTGTGATGGCATGGCGTGTGATGGCATGGCATGTGATGGCATGGCGTGTGATGGCATGGCATGTGATGGCATGGCATGTGATGGCATGGCATGTGATGGCATGGCATGTGATGGCATGGCATG